TACTGTTAAATATTTCTTTCCAATTTTTAGGACATTAAAGCTGGCAACGTATAACAGTTTATATTATTATAATATGCGTAATGAATTCTATACGTTTACAATACACGTTTAGGATTCAAATAAAATGTACATTTTAATAAAATTCTCCTTAGCGTTTATAGTCCATTTTAAATATTTTAAATGTAGTTTTATAAGGTTTAGAGGTAATATCGTATTATTTGCCTATAATACAACACAATATTATCTTTTCATGAATATTTAACTAGATTATTAAATTTTTTATTTATTTATTATAAAAGTATTGATACCGATTACCGCTTGCTATTCCCAAATAAATAACAAATACGTGTAAGGAAATAAATATATGTATAAAGATTGTATATATATATCGAAAATCATTCTGGATATTTCTGAAAAATATTGAGTCCTAACGGATTTACTATTTCCTCATATAATTAATATTTTTCATACAATTTGTTTCTAAGAAACTTAAATTATGAATTTAAATGAATTTATGTATTTTAAAGAGAGATTTTACTGTATAAAATTAATTCAAAATTTATAATGATATTAAATTTATTTTCGTACATATCCTAGCTATTTTACAATTATTATAATTATATACAAGAAATCATTGTATACTTATTTCTATTAACACATTATTTTTATATAACAGATATTAATGCATTTTAAAATAAAATATTTTTTTTTTTGTAAAATTCTTTAAGCGCACTGTCATAAATATGACAACAATTATTAATAAAATATTATCCTTTAGGGACACATATTTACCTACGTACATATATTATTGTATACATATATGTATGTAAAAATATTTTCGGTTAGTTTTTATTTTTATTTTCTTACTTAATCGTTTTATCAAAAACCTCAATATCGATTGAATGTTATGTAAGCCTTTTTTAAGATGAGAAGAAAATCGAAGTTATATATGTAAAATATAAATGTATTTACGTATAAAATATATAAATACATATACGTACTTGTATATACTTGTATATTTGCTTATTTTTAACACAGATATGTTCTTATTTATTTAACAACTCATAATAATAATATGAGATGATATCCTTTTTGATTTTTTATTCAAAGTGAAAGGAAAACAAAGAAAATATTATAATTACTTATAGGAAAGATATCTAAATAACTGTTATACAAAAATTTGTATAACAAAACAACAGCAAAAATAATATTACTAACACTTAACTTTATTTTTTGTTCATTCGTTTCATACGAGTACATACTTGTGTGTTACCCAAAAAATCAAAAAATATGCAATTCCTTTTTTATTCTTCATATGACTGTTATTGTTGTTAAGGACTACGACAAACAAAAATAAGTTAATAATATACAGAAAGTTGAAAAAAAAAAAACCAATTGAATCATGAGATAAAAGAAAATGTAGTATATCTTATTCTACTTCAGGATACACACTAACTCCTACAAAGGCGATATTTTGAAAAGAAAATAGAAAAAAAAATCGAATAAATGAGGTTCTGAAACAAAAACAAATTTTATTTTCTATGAATGAAAATACATTTAATTTTTTTGTATAACACATGCGCTGACCGGCAAATAACTGCAAAACAAAAAAAAATCTGTTATACGTGTGTATTATATCTATTATTATAGTATATTTTAATGTATATATGTAAGTATAGCTAATTTATCTCTTGTAATTATAAATCTCTTTAAAAATAATTTAAGAGAAATATGTACTTTGTAAAATTAAACTCTTTGATAAAAACTTGAAATGATTTTCTCTTTTATACAATAACTAACATTTGTTATATAACAGTTTCATGCAAGTTGATGCTAGAGCAAACATATGTATATATATAAAGAGTGTATAACAGAATTATAATTTTGGAAAATTTTTATAAAAAAAAAATGTTCTCCAAGAAAAATTCTTTTAGAAAGCCAATTCTGTGCAAAATATTTTTTTATTTAGGACATTAATCTCTGTGCATTCTATACAATAATAATAATTGTTAATTTTTAAACAAATTTTAACAATAAGCCCTTACACTTTCTTTAATTTGCCTAATATTCATTAAACACAAGATAATAAGTATAGCATTTTAAAATTTTTTTAACAAATACCACAAAATTTATTTTCATTTTCATCGTCTTTGTCAAATACTTCACTAAAGCCTAAAGAAATTTTACAAAATGGACAGTAAAAAATTATACATCTCATATTTTTAAAAATTAATGGTAACCAACATAAAAATACTGGAAATAATAATAACATTATGGTATAGGTTTTCCATGTATATTTGTAATGACTTTCTGGTAAACATACCATTAAACAATTTGGACATGTCATCAATATTCTTTCTCGGCTTAGTTTAATAATTGGTATAACCTGGGAAGTTGTCTCTCGTTTTTTTCTTATATAATATCTTCTTTTCGTTTCATAATATCGCCTTGCTATTGAATGCCATATAATTCTATATAATCTATGGAAAACCATTACAACATTTAAAATTTTTGATATTGGTCTTTGTTAAATTTACATGTGTTCAAGTTCCGGAATATTTCATTCATTTATTAATAAAAAATAAAATTTTTTTATCAGTCAAAATCATTTTAAATGTTTCAAATCAAACACAAAATTTAAAAACTTCAAAAAATTTTTTCGTTTACATTCCATTTTATTTTTTTTTTTGGCTTTAATGTTTGAATTTTTTTTCCTAAATGAGAAATATTATAGCTAGATGTTTGTTATGTAATGAAATCTTACATAGTTACAATTATGATACATCAAATTTAATTGAACATTTAAAAATCAAACATCCTTGTACAAATCTTAAGAGTTTGGAATCATCTATCAGTACATTGGAAAAAAGTAGTTCAAATTCAAATTTTCGTAAAATAACTAAATCGGAAATACGAAGTAGCAATACCAGTTTATCATCAAATAATAAATCATTAAGAGAAAAACAATCGAATAAAGAAAATTTAAATTCAACACAATATTTCCAGTCTAATAATATAAAATCAGAAAAACAATCAAATAATTCAGATGTTAATAAAATTTTACCAAAAATTATTGAAATTGAAAATATTTCAAATGATATGACGGATGTAAAATTTTTATGTAAATGTAATATTGATAACATTAACAATAACAATGAATTTAAAACGTCACAACAACTAAATTTAGAAAAATCTACTATAAACGGTAATGGAATAAAATCTTTTAAAAATAATGCTGATTCCAAAATTCCCAAAAATAACACAATATTAGATTTATCTAAAAATAATAATATTGAATCAAAATCATCTATAAATAATAAAATAACATTGATTGATAAAGAAACTCAGACAAATAAAATTGAATTAGTAATACTAGAAAAACAAGGAGAAAAAGAGCAACAAGAACAAAATTATAGCCCATATTTTCAAAATCTAAAAACTCTTAATAAAAAATTTAGTAAAGAAATATATAAAAGAAAATATGTCATAAGAAATCCATTTAAACCTATTTCAATAAAAAAATTTCCAAATACAAAATGTAAAAGAAAAAAATTATATAAAACATCCTTGGAAAAATGGCGACCTGGTAAAAATAAAATTTTTTGTCCATGCTGTGGTAAATTAATAATACCAACGATAAGACAAAGAATTGATAAGGTAAATATTAATATATTTAACCCTAGAATACACAACTTAATCTTGATAGTAGAGAAATTATGAATTCTTTTCTATTTAAATGAATTTAATAGTATTGTTGTTCTACTGTTCAATCAATTACTGTTGCTATTACAATATTTAATGTAAGTTCTCCTTATGCAATAGAAATTCTCATAATTTTAATGTTTAATTCAAGCATATTACGAAATTTTCTATTTTGGTAGTTTCTCTTTGTAGAAACTGTAGTTTTTTTGTTTCAGTTCAAAATTCAAACCTTTAATTAAATCTTAGCATCTATTAACGTATAAGTGTGAGTAAAAGTATAAATTGAATTAAAAAATTTTATTTTGCATTCTAGAATTAAATTTTAAATAAATTTCTCACCACTTTATTCATATATTTTACTTTAGATATTAATTATTAATATTAAATATTCTGTATTTTATAGGAAACAAGAAATCCATTTATTATTACATGTATGTTATCATGTTGGCCATTATGTTTTCTACCATGTTTAAAAAAATTACATACCAAAGAATATCTTTATTGCTCTGTATGTTATTATTATTTGGGTATGTATGATCATAAAACTAATTGTATTTATCCGAATTTTCAAAAAATTTAATATATACATACTTAAATACAGTAATAATTGTAATATTTTTATGTAAAATAATAAAATTAATAGATATAACAGTTGTGGTTTTATTATAAAAGAGACTACGTTATTAACTGGTAAGTTTTTTGTTATCCTTTTCATTAAAATTATTCAAATATTTAGTATTGTGCAGTGAAATTATTTAAATATTTAAAAAATTGAATTGTTGGAATTTCTTTAATATTTTAAAGAAATTAAACGTATTAAATTTTATAAATATAATTAAATATAATGAACGAATTCAATTATATTAAATTGAATTGATATAATTATTGCGGCTATTCTTATTTCTAATTTATCTCTATGAGTATATATAAGGCTCTGGCATTCAATCATTTTTTAGTTTTACTACTGTTTGATTACTTATTCCATGAGTTTTCATTCAAGCACGCCAACATACAACTGTATGATCGCATGCAATCAAACCGTTTGTAATATTTTTGCAAACTTATTTCAATTTAGTTATTTCAAAAAGTTTAGTTGCTTAAGTATGCACGCAATTAATCTACAATCAAACTGTAATTAGAAAACTAAAAATTCCATGTCTGTCAGAACTCTTACATTCCACATTCGCAATCAAACTCAAACCTGAATCAATCAAACAAAATTTAATTTTTCTATTATTTTTTTTTTATTGAAATTTTTATAAAATTACACTAAAATAATCATTATACTCGTATTCTCTTTATAGTACTAATATAGCCTAAATTTGCAAAAAAAAAAAAAATTTTCAAAACAAAAATAAGGAAAAAAAACAAAAAATAAAATAAAAAAAAAAAATTTCAATTAAATGGGTCACTCGAATTTTCTTATATGTTTAATAAATTTGATTTTTATTTTTTATTGTTTTTTTTTTTAAAAAGCAGTTTCTGTATTTACATTAGTTTTCGATGGTTTTGATTTCTTTGATGGTATTTCAATCATTTTATTAAATCTTCCAATTTTTGAATTTGATTTATGTTTCTTTAATGTTTTCTCTTGAAAATAACCAACTTCAATATGACGTCCAATAAAGCAACCGCAATGACAACAATAATGATTTAAGTCCTTACTACAACGCCAAGTACATTTAAAACTAAAAATAGATTTTTAAAAATAAAAATATTTACAAATGAACTAAGTTGATATTTTAAAAGAGCTTTTCATAAAACATATAATAATGACATATGATTCTAACAAAACTTTTTGACATTTAACGCAAATTTAACATTTTCCGACACTGTATACACACATACATACATATTATGAATGTATGATTGTTAAACATTGCGTTCATTTGATTTGAATTTTTTTATTATTTTCATTTGTTATTTTTTACTTACCAGCAACATTTCTCAAAATATGAAATCATACGTTGAGTAAAAGTTGATGCTTCCACTCTTGTAATTGATAATCCATTTTTAAAACATGATGGACATAAAATTTCTTGAGGTTCAGTGCCAAGCACACTATTTGGTGGAATGCTAACAACACCTGTTGCCATTTAAATATGAATATACATATATATATGTTATAGAAAAATTTATAAATAATTTTTATAATATTAACCCAACTTTTATAGTAAAGCTAGTAAGGGTAATACTAGAAAATTCAAAAACAAAATTCAAAATAAGAGAAATAATTCCTTAACTTTATTAACTTCAGGAAAACACTGATCAGTAAGTGTTCACCAATATAATTTTTCCATATTTATTAAGGGAATAAAAAAGCTTTTTTCCAATTGAAAAAAAACCCCTCACAAAAAAGCTATACGTTTTTTCTCAAATACAGTATAACCCACTTATAATAAACTTTAAATGACAGAGGTTCTCGCTTTAAGTAAACCCTTTTTCATGGTCGATTGATTGGTTACCGTGGTTGCAGCAAGTCCATCGCACCCAAATTAGCACAAATTTCTTATTTTGCTATCACTACCTCGGGCTCACTAGGTCGTCATTGAGTGTACGGTTACAAGTCGGCTATCTAAGCCACTCGATTCTCTTGAAGAATCTATCTTAATCCCCGAAGAATCTAATTATATTAATCTTCGATATCTCGTTCAGCCCCGTCATGCATGCTCTACCCCACGTTATCAGTCTGGCCTCGACTAGAGAAAAATGGTCTCTATCTTGTCAACCAATTTTTCATATACGTATCATTTTAGATTAATACCAAATAGTTCAAAAGTGTAGAAATCACATCGAACTCCAAGAAGAATAAAAACAGACCGCGAAAACTATTTATTTTTGTGATATTCACTTGTAAAAACAAAAACTAATAGCTAAGTTGAGGTATTTTAAAAGCAAGCTGTACTGTATGTGACATGAAATAATAAATACATAATATTGAGAACTAAGAGACGAAATAAGATCGAAAAATTTTGAACTCCAACGCACTTAATATGTGATGGAAATTTCAAGCATTCTTTGTATAAAAAGAATAAGTATTTGAAGTGAAAAAAAAGAGAAATTTATGCTGTAGATTTATATTAATATGATTAATTTGTTTTAATTTTACTGAAATTAGTTTTTTTCTTTAAGAGAGTTATTTATTTACCGGCAGAAAAATAGAAATGAGAAGTTTATAATTTCTTTCTTAGATTCCTTTCATGCATCTTCTCCTTCACAGTTTTATCAAATTGTAATTTATTTTAAGTTCATTGTCCATATACACACTTGGATCAAGCAAGCCGGTTTGGATATGCATAGATAATTCACATTACAATGAACCCCAAACAAGATATTCAAATTTCAGAGAGAATTCAAGAGCACTTTAGGCTTAATAAATAGTTCTTAGGCTATAGTACATGCTAAATAATTCATCAAAAATGACGCTAAATAATTCATCATTTACTAAATGGAATTGTTAATTAACAGCCAAGCACCAAATATGATATGAAAGTCTGTTTTAAATGTTATATTTTATGCACGCATAAAAAATGTCACTAAAACTTTTTAACCTGATCCGCTACAAATGATCACTTGGTACTTTAGAAAGTAATAAATTACTTTACATTTTCTTTTTATAAAAGATTATTTTAATTTTTTTTTTTTTACACTTTTTATTAATTTTTTATTTTTTTTTTAATTTAAATATATAATATGTATATTTGTATATATTTTGGTTTTTTTTTATTAAATTTTCAAATAAAATTCTTTTGACAAATTATTTTTTTATTTCAATACGTTTCTTTTTTGGTAAATATCTTCCAAAGAAACATCCACAATTCGAACAATAATGATTTCCGTCCTGTTTTTTCGAGATAAAACAATATCTGCAACAAAGGCAACAACAGAATAACCTATAAAATAAATTAAAATATATAAAATTAATTTAAATATTTTTTTTTTATATAATTATAATTTTACTCACATATAAAAGAATGTAAATATTGTATTGATACGTTCAGCTGATGGTGTAAATACCATTTCATAAATTGTTTCTGCTGTAACACCACAACTTGGACATTGAACAATAGCTGGACTATCTGGTAAATTTAAATAATGTCCAACTAATGGTGTTACAAAATTTGTTAAATGTGATAGATCTTTAACATTTGATTCTTTTTTCCTAATCATATTCTATGGAGTTAAAAAAAAAAAATTTCTTGAATAAAGGAAAATTAATCACAATATTTTTGTTTTTAATATTTAAAAAGTAAAAATTTTGCGTAAATTTATAACACAAGAGAAATTTACTTTAATAATTTTTAAAAATTTTTATTTAATAAAGAAATTTTAATATTTGATTTTATTAGCGTTTCGAAAAAAGCTTTTAAAATAAAATTTTTTTCTTTACTCCAAAAATTTTATGTAAAATGAGAAAGAAAAACAAACAAAATGATTTTCTTTTTTTTTTCTCTAAATTTCTTGTTGTTGGTTAATATTTTTCACATGTGTTTGATTCTATTTTTAAGATTCTCCATTTTCACACACTATGATTAAATTGAACTACTTAATTTTTCAATTTGATCTTCTTCTTTTATGCTATATAGAATCTAGAACTAAAAGATTATAATTGATCATACAATTGATGCCATAGGCCAGTTTTAAAAAACAATTTTATTCAACATTTTATGATAATTCACAATAAATTTTAACTTTATAAGCAGGTAATCTTCACTCTAAATTAGATCGAGTTACTAAATTTTTTATATTGCAACACTGATAAATAATTTTTATTATAGGAATACTTTTATACATTTCGGAATTTAATACGAGACTTTACTCGTATTCCATATACAAAATAATCTATACATGATATAAGGATCTAAATTTGCATCAAGTTACTAATAATTCTAAGTTTTAAAATCTGAAATCCCAATTTGTCAAATTCAATATGATTATTATAGCTTGAATATAAATGAATACCACATTTTCTAATGTAAAATTTCAAATATTCAATTTCAGTGCCTAAAATATTCTTTTTATAAAATTTCATATAATATTGAACTATTTTATATAACCAAGTTCAAACGGAAATCATATAGCCAGAGCTACAGAACTAGATTTTTTTGTAGATAAGTATAAATACTTAAATTTTTAAGAAAATATTGTTTTCTATAAATTTAAAATAAATTTTTTTTTTTAAATTTTCAATATAAAGAATAAAATATTAAAAAAAAAAATTGATAACAAAATTAACCAATAAATTATTTTTTTATCTTTACAAAAACTATTCCCTTATATCAACATTCCCTCATCCTATAGTGCTACAAATTATAATCGGTATATTTTACAAGATTTCCTTTATATAATTTTTCTTAGAATAAATAATAAATTATTCAAAGAAAATTCACAATACGAAACTAAAATTTCATTTGAAATAGAATAACAAATTAAAATAAAAACTCACTTTTAGTATATTGACCTTCAAAATTCTAAGATTTTTAATACTGAACTCTCATAGTACACAAATTATTAACTATTAATATGTGAAAATTATGAAAAAGATATTTTGTTCGAAACACAAAATTTTCAAAAACAAAAAAACTATCAAAGAAATCTTTCGATTTCTTGTTTTAAATATTTAAATTAATAACTATATAATTAGGGTTACTCTGTTTTCATTGCTGAAGCATAACACTAAGGTCTTCTATATAGAAAAAACGTTTTCAATGCAATGTTTCACGCATACTCGTAATAACGTTTAGGGTTACTCTGTTTTCAAATGATTCAATAAATTCCGAATTCTTTAAAAAACGCCTTAAGCACGCAGAAAAGAGCAAAACGCCCCTCAAAAAATTTCCCGATGCTTTTTATAAATTTTGTTTAAGCGGTGCTGCCTCTGATTGCAAAATTTATTCAAATCTCTCTGTTTATTGAATATTTAAAGCTTAAAAACTCAAGTTAAAAGACGGTTTAAAAATTGTTTGAAAACTTTTTTTTTTCACAATATGGAAGTCACCCTTTGTTAGGTCAGGGATTAGAAAATTTTATATAGTTTTGCTTATGTCTTACAAAATTTTAATAAAAACCGAAATCTCAGTCATAAACTCTCCCGCAAGAAACTATGATTGTCACGTATACTCTCACACATAACAATTGAGATATATCACAGTTTTGACAATTAAGGCATTTCCCAACATTTTTAAAATTTTTTAATACTATGGTGAATGTTTATTGCAGAAATTAACTGTAGGGAAAAAGACCCCGAACCGTAGAATAAAATAAAACAGATATTAAGTTTGATGCTCTAAAGTAAATTAAGGCAACACAAAAAAAAAAAAAATAAAAAAAAAATGTAAAAAAAACATGAACTAGATCAACTCTAAAAATATTTTCCAATGAACTGAAGACACAAAAAACAAAAAAACATTTCAAATGATTTTCCACAGCTTTTTTTTCATATTTCCAAAGTTTCGATTTCAATATGTGTAGGTATGAATATGTTTGAATAAACACCCGTACATTCATACATACAGACAATATTTCTGTTTTTAATAATCTATTCTTTACATTAAAATGAATTTTTGTAAAATCAAAAAAATAAAAATTGCAAATATTTTTCATAAATATTTTATAAATTTTGTTTTTTTTTTTTATTTTAAGTTTGTTTTTTCTTATTTTTGTTTTTCTTTTGTATTTTAATATTAAAAAAATTATAATAAATTTTTTTTTTTGTTATTTTATAATTTTGGTCTTCTGTATGTTCCTAAATATTCACCACATTTTGAACAGTAATGTTGACGTATTTTAAAACATGGTACTAAATATGCCAAAGCCGAAATAAATATTATAGGGCAACAACTAATTACAAAGAGAGAAAAAAATAGAATAATTAAAAATTATTTTAATTAATTTATGAAATAATAAAAAAAAATTACCATAATGTTAATTGCAAACAACTGTTAACACTTTCCCAAGAGTCAACTTTTTCACTAACAATTGTTTCACCATTTTTATCACAAAATGGACAATGAACAGAATTTGATTTGGGTCCGACAGCAAAATATACAATTTTTTTATTTTGTCCAGTTGGTGTGGTCACTTTTGCAGTATTTTTTGATTCTGTCATTTTTACTTTTATTTCTTTTAGTGTTTAATTTTTTTTTTTTCGTATAAAATATTTGAAAACCCTTCTATATATTAATAAATTTATTATTTCAATTGAAAGTAATAATTTTTACTTTTTACAAAACACAATATTGTATATTATTTAATTTAGAATTGTTTAAAATCACTTATGATAGCATAATTTTAAAAATTGAAATTTTATAGGAGCTCTAAGAGAATAAAAAAAAAAAAAACTTAAGCACTCTTCTATATTTTGAGAATATGAAAAATAAAGCTCTTATATTTATTTTATTTTCGTTTCCATATTACGAGTATTTATGTTTAGAGCTTAAAAAACAAAAAAAAAACACATTTTCTTTAAATATTTCTGTGGTCCCAAGAAATTAATTAGACAAATACTTCAAAATTACCATTTTATTATTATATAATCATATTATACATGTTTAAGAAGAATTTTTGAGACACGAATTTTTATTAAATAGAAAAATTTTGAGATATGAGAATTTCAATATTTGCTCTGTTAGAATAGTAATTGAACAATTGCTAATTAATTTTGTTAAAATAAGGCAGTTAAAGAAAACGGTTCAAAAGAACAGTTGCATATTTTCTTTTTTTCTTGAAGTCAATCGTAATAATTTGAAAGGCCTCCAAATCTATCACAGGGAGAGAAATAAATACAAAAATATAATTTCTTAAATTAAGAGTTACGTGCCTAAGTAATTCACCGGCTTCGTAAATAAACGGTTAGTTAAACAGATAGACTAATGATCAGACAAACAGGCGAATAGATTGATGACGGAGCGAATGGACAGTCTAGCTGATCGTCTGAAATTGAAAGAAATAATAACTGCTTCCTTTTTACATTTTATCGTGAATTCAGGATAACAAAGAAGACCGAAAATCATAAATTATATAGATATTTTAAAAATTTATTTAGTATGGTATTTAATTTTTCTATAAAAATTCAATTTAGCAAATTATTTTTTGTCACCACAGATTATAAAATGGAAAAATTAGAAAAGGAAACTATAATTTTCTTTTTATCTGTATAATTTATTTTTTTTTGTTCTACAGTTAATTATTTTTTTTTTTTTTTGGTTTTTTTATCATAAGAATATTAAAAATTAAAAATATAAATTAAAAAAAAAGATTTATGATGGACGAATGAAAAAACCCAAATGAGCCCCACAATTTGAACAAAATTGTCGTCTACGTCTTGTTAAGCCAGATGCCAATAACATAAAGAATGAAGCCCAAAATATTGGAATACATCTAAAATAAAATCAAATATATTAAATACGCATACACATTGAATATTTTTACATTTCGAAATTTAATACTTACATCGATAAACATGATAAAAGTGCATTAATATTATCTTTAAAATTTATTGGTGAATCTTTATATGTATCAGCAACATCTTTACATACTGGACATTTAATTGAACGATTATCAGGTCCAACACCATAATATGTTAATTTTGGATGAAAATCAGTTGCTGGTATTATTTTTGGAATTTCAACTAAAATGAAATAAAACAAAAAAAAAAGAAAATAATTTCTAAATTAAAAAATTTTTCAAATTCATAAAATTTTACTAAAATTTTTACCTTTAACAATATCATTTTCTTCATATAATTCTTCTGCCATAGTTGGATAATAATTTCCTGAATTACAAAGCATTTATTACAACATTCGCGGTGATTATAATTTAATTTTTACTATTTTTTTTTCTGTTTTTTTTTGTTAAATTCAAAAAAATTAAAAATTTGCTCTTAATAATGGTAAAAATGAAAAAAAAAATTTTCCAACAAAATAAAAAAATTCAAAGAGTAAAATAAAAGCTTTGAAAAATTATTTTTAATCAGAGCTTTTCTATATTTATTTATGCTAAAATATTCATATAGCTTTTAAATAAAACATATTAGAAATGATCATTGAGAAAGCTAAAATTCAAACAATTTAAAATTACATGCACATACATACATATATGTACAGTGTTGCGCATACATCTGCACATATTATATATGTATATATTATATATATATTATAGTTTTTACATAAAGACATAATTTCGAAAAAAAATTTCATTGTCACTTCTATTTAAGTCTACTTTTGTGCTGTACAAAAGACATGCAATAAATATAAGAATTGTAGTGTTAAGTATTTTATGTTTAAGTATAATTTTTATAAAATACCTTTTCGTATTTCAAAATTTGCCTTTTAAATTTGATGAAATTCACTTTTTGTTTGAAATTTTAAAAAATTATTTTTTGAAAACTACAAATCTAACGTAAAAATTTAGACAAGCTAAAAAGTGTACACAATTTTTAAAAGCTTCTGTAATTTTTGCATAGTTATTGTAAGTTTGCATAGCAATGAAAGCTTTACAATGGTAGTGAAACAATATTTGCACTGTATATAAAGCTTTTTACCACTAATTTTTGAAGTCACCCTATAATTTTATTAAGTGTTGTGCTATAATTTAATTGTGCTGATCGGTGTATAAAGCTTTTTCTATAAAATCGATAATTACGAAAAAAAAAACAATAATTTTTTACATATAATTTCGCAAAATCAAATTGAACTTTTTTTTTCCTGGATATAACTCTTAATGGCTCTATTGTAAAAACTGAAAAAGTTACACTCTTGCTATTTCTTAAAACTTTTACATTTTGTTTATATTAAGAAAATAATGTTTTTATTTTCTAAATATTTATAGTATAAAATTAATACAAAAGAAAAAACGAAAATAAATAAATAAAATAAATGTTCTCACAAGTTGTTTTCAAGGGAACATGGTTATACTCATGCGAAATTGTTAGCATCAAATTTTGGAATTTTTTCTTTTTTAATTGAAAATTATAGAGAAAATCTTACCTTTGAATACTTTTAACTATGCGACCAAACATTAAAATTCTTTGAAACAGGTTTCATTTGTACTCACAGACTAAGTGACAAACTTGAAAGTCCTGAACTGGACTAGATATGTGTTAATCAAAATTACTCGTACGTTTGTATATCAAATGTAATTTAAATTATTTTTGACGTTCCAACGTTGTTTGCTTGGAATTTCATATTTGAATATATGGCGATTGCCACATGGCTGTTCTGATAGTGTATATTTAAAATCCGCAAACCCATATAACAAGTTCCTATTCACAACGTAGAATCTCAAAAATCACAAGTACGAGTATAGAATCTCAATATTTTTATTTACAAATCAGTTAAAGAAAATACTTTACATAAAAAATTTTATTTTTATTCAAATTTATAATTATGAATAATTATTTACAACATTTATTAAACTGATATACAAAAAAAAAATTTTTTTAACAACTATAGATCTATATACAACAATACTTAATGGAATTTATGAGTACAGTCCACAGAGTAAAAAATAAATTGCTCGATCGAATTGCTTTAATCAAGTTCTAATTTAAGACTAAAAATATTAATATTTATAAAAATTTTGAGTGAAATTTAATTATTATTATAAGTTCCAATTAAGAAATTGCATTCTGGACAGTAATGATTAGCACTCTGACATGAATTAATACAATATGGTAAACAAGAAAATGGCCAGCTGAAATTATATTAAAAAAAAATAAAAATAGCTAGTTAATAAAATCACATGAGTGTATGAATATATTGCGTATATATGAACTAGAACAATACTAATTTTCAAAAATACGTTTAAATTCTTATATTAATAAAATAATGTACTGTTAAAACTGTAATTCAAACAAAATTTATTAAAATTTTACAATATTGTTTTCGCTCTAAAACACTACAGAAAATTTGACATAATGTACAGCGATATACTTGTATATTTTTTCTTAAAAAAATACTTACCATATAAGGCAAAGTATGCAAACCATAATATGAGTACTCTCTGATGCTTCATATCGAAGATCTGTTAAAGTGGTAGCTTTACATGATGGACAAACAACTGTTTGTGGTTTTGGACCAAGAGAAACAGGTATAGCACGTATTTTTCTTCTTGATTTTTTACCTTCAACATAAATTGTATTATCTGTGGATGGTACAAATGTTGGTAGTGTAGTTGTTGCAGGTCTATCCATTTTTATTTTTATAATTTTTTATTTGAAAAATTCTATCAGACGTATGATTTCAATGAATTTTTAATATAAACTAAATTTTTTAAACATTCAATTTCCAAAAATCAATTGAATTTCATTATGATTTTTTGTTATTATATACTTTTTTATCAACATCATATAGACAAGGTGATTCCCAATTAAGTGAATTAGGAATTGTACATGGCAGTATTTAAATTTAATGGAAAATAATTTAAGATACTTTCGATAGCTACAATCATTCTTTATTTATTGTATTTTAGAGTTTCGTTTGAAACAACCCTTAAAACATTGAGGATCGTACAGGCTATGATTTTTAAATGAATGGGCGTTTATTCAAAAATACATAAAGATTTAGTCCATTACTAAATGATAGTTTTTTGAATTTATATTTCAATCTCCAATATAAGATTGAAACAGGATAACCACTCAATTTAAGACTGCCGACATAATTCACTGTTTCCTTTACAACTCACCTCATATATCAAGTACTAGGAGTGTATAAATTAAATATTCTTAAGTTTTCGATAAATAAAGTAATTTAAAAAATATTAAGAGACTTAAACTTTATTTTATTTGAAAACAAATCACGGCGATCATATAAATTGCATATTTCTAGGGAAAGTCTAATACTTCTAAGGAAATCAATGGGTTATAATCATTTTTACGATTTTATTTAAACTGTTTTCAGTTCGTTTCATTTTTTTTTATAATTAAAAATAGCATTCATGTAAAATTTTCTAATAAAGCTTTCTATTTATGACTTTTTGTATACGCAAAAGTTAATTAAGCGACTAATTACAATTAATTATGACAATAATATACAAGTTAATTAAGCGACCGCATTACATACAATAAGGGATGTAATGTGATGGTACCAAATTTCGGATGTCGAGTTTTTGACGAAAACGCACTTCTCCATCTAGTAGCGAAGCATAAATAACATATTTTTAGAGATGTCAGTCTATCGATTTATTGTTCGTGTGTGAGGCGCGTCTCAGGTTCGACTGAACTGATTGTAATGAAATTTTTTATATGAACTTATTTTGACTATGTCCTCGATTAATCAAATTTTGGGATATGTTAGACCCCGTGAACTAGACTTTTTTCGGCCCGATTTTACATTTTTGCGCATATGAAGAAAATAATCAACAAATTTTCCTAAAATTTAATATTTAAATTCTTGGTGTTCTTGGTAAAATGAACTTATAAATTTTTCAGAAAGATCAAAACTGAAAAACCGAACTAGGAACCGATTTTAAATTTCATCTCCCAAATCAAATTGAAATATCTACCAAACAAATTGATGAAATTTCTTGAAATTTAATATTTGAGTTGTAGTTACTACCAAAAAATAACTGGCGAACTTTTCAAAGAACTCGAATGACACAATGCCAAACTCTACTAAGAGCCAATTTTACATTTTTCGAGATATGTTAACTTAAAGTTTAGTAGTAACCTGAAAATTGTAAAGATTTTTTTAAAACGCATTTTTAGAAGCTAGACAACATACATTGAGGTCAGTTATGTGCTGACCACATCAGGTTTTTTATTTATATGTTTTTCTTTAAAAAAAAATTCCTCCAGGAACTTTTAAACTAAATACTAAAAACATTTATTATTATTTCCAGAGATTCAATGTATAAAATTCAAACGTTTAGATTCATACAAAACTCTTCATATACATACCTGTTAAGTAAATAATTTTTTTAATATATATGCAAAAAATAAATAAATTTTATATACATAAATGTAAACATTTTTAAATAAAATCTATTTTTAGATCTCGTCTATTGTTCTTTCTTGGAAAAAAATGTTGATTTCTTAATTATTCGTCTAAAATCTACATGGTAGCTAATTCAATTATTTAATTTAAAGTAAACGCGAACATATATTTTTTGCAACATTTAAAAAACATCACAGCTAGTTAGATATTTTATATAAATTTAATATTGTAAATTAAATAGTGTGTACAATATAGTTAATAGCTATGTAATAAGTTAATCTTAAATACATCTTAGTTTTGTGCGTAATAAACTAATGATAGCTCCATAATATTATTTAATATGGCAAATTTTGTTATTTTGTAACAAAAAATTATAGATTTTGATGGTAAAAATAGAGGATAAATTACAAAATTTTAGAGGCAAAGTCTAACTTTTATACAAAATCTAATTATATTAAAACTCAAAAATATCTTTTAAAAAATATTATTATATTTTTATCAATTTTATTCACAATATATTCGTATTACAATTATAGGCAATAAATTTTAAAAGTTACACATTTGAGAACTTTTTTTCGTTCTGCGGTACGCTATAGTAACTTTAATCAAATTATATAGTTTACATGTTATTGGAAAGAGGTAACATAATAAAAGACAAGATTTATTTTCATATTATTAATCATATTATTACTAATTTCAATGCAATTTTTAAGATTAATCTCAAAATTTTTAAAATTTTTTAAATGCTTTAACATTAATAATAAAAATAATTGGAAAAATTTACTACAAAGATTTTCTCTTTTTAGAATTCTAGACTTATATTATATTTTTAAGTAGATAGTAATAAAATGTATAATATATTAAAAAATTTACAATATTATATTTTCATAATTGAAAACGTATATTTGAAAATATAATATTAAATTCAACTTAATTTTTAAGGTATCGTCTCCAATTTACTCGTATAAAATAGCATGAAAATAAAATATATTTAAAACATAGATACCTATTAGCACATAATATTCATAAAACATTTAATTAATTTGCATATGTTCCAATATATGATTCACAATTTGGACAATAATGATTTGCATTTTTACAGGAATCTATACAATATGGTAAATATGCTATGGGCCAACTAAAAACACAAAAAAAAAATAATAATAATTTAATTTAATATAAAAACTAAAAAATTTATACTATATAAAAATTTAAAATTACAAAAAACAACATAGAGCTATAGCTGCATAATGAGTTTTTGATGAAGTTTCATATTCTATAATTGTAACAATAGTTTCACGACATGCTGGGCAAATTACACTTTGTGATTTTGATCCAAGGGCAACTGGTTGAATATAAACAGTTTTGGTAGTACTTTGTTTGTATGACGGTGGTGGTGATTTTCGAATTAAAGAATTTGATTTTTCTCCATTTTCTACATTCGATTTATGTTCTCTTTTTTTATCAGACATAATTTTCTTTATTGTTTTTTTTTTTCTTGTAAATAATTCAAGAAATATGCGATTCAAGAATCTTTATCTACTAAATATTTCAATGAATTTTCGAAACAAACTAAAATTCTATGATTATTTTATATGAAGCGAATTTTAATTATTATGTATCTATATATAATAATAAAATTTATATTATATACAGATTATATACAGATACACATGCGTATTAATGATCCGTGTTGTGGAAAAAGGAAAAATTAAGCAGAATTTTTCTTAATAAATATGTGCTTGTATTAATTATGGTTGTGATGATATTATTAATCAATTATGCACTAAATGATAATTTAATTATCAAAAAAAATTGAAAATTATAAGTAAAAATCAATATTTTAAATTGTTTCACTTTCACTTTGTTATTATATCATTTCTTTTATACGGCAAATCAAATAAATCAGAGATTTTAATAGTTTACGGGATATCGACCACTATTTTGTTTTACTGAAAGGAAATTCATTAAGCAGGTGGGAATTTTCTTAAATTATTACTCCTCACAATTTTATGAAATATAAATTTTCCTGTATATCCAATACTTTAATCTATATTATATACTTTCAGTTTGATATATTTAAAAGCGAAAATGTTATAGAAATTGTTCGTCCTCCTAAATAAAAGTATAATACCCTTTACAATTATTACTAATGTTTAATAAAATTAGTTATATTTTATTTATTGTAAATTACTACTGTACAAAATTTATCCTAAAATTATGCAAAATTATTATGGTAATAATAGAATGATTTTAATAGAAGGTTTAGACTTAAAGCTATATACTTACATATGTGTACATGTTTAAATTCAAATTCTTAACCTAATAGTTGAAATTCTCAACCCAATTGGGTAAAGAGAAATGCTTTAGTTTATAAACTGTAGAATACAAGATACAAGCTTTTTTAATTCATTTTTAAAGAATTATTTCTCTTTCTTTATAGTAATTAATCTAAAGCTAATGAATAATTTTTTTATAACAGTTATCAAAATTTCTTAACAAGTATAATGTAGATACTTGTTAGGTTTTAAAAAAATATATGGTATGGCATTCTCTGCCAAAAAAAAAAAATTAAAATTCATCAATTTTAATTATAAATTGTGTTCGACTTATTTTTATATTAGATTGAAACTAGAATTATTTTTTATAAAATAAATATTTGGAAACATAAAAATATTAAATTCCAATTAAATTCCCACACAAAAAACTAAATACTATATAGATCATAAGTGAATTTAATCAAAACGGGATTGATGAATTTACGATAATATAAAATTCTAGTATTTATTACTGTTCGGATTATAATCGTTATTTGATAATATTTTATAAAATTATATAAAAATTTTTTAACGATTTAAAGAATTTGGAGAATTTTCAATTTATTATATTTAATTTAAGATAAGCATGTATTCTTTTTTTATTACTATATATTAAAATACCTTCCATTTAATAAGGTATTGTATATCGTAATAAATTATCACTTTATTTCTTTATGTATGTTTATTTGTAATGAAATATTTTTAATAAATCATTATAATACAATAACAAATTCACAGCCGGCCTATAAGTAAAATATACCCTACATAACTCACATTTTCTGTATTCTAATATAAAAAGTGAAAAATTTTTATTCACATTTTCCAAATAATTTTTCACACACTTTTGCACCATATATAAAAATATATAATATATGTATATATGTATATACAAAATATAAAGTAAATTAAATCCCTTATCATAGTTTTGTTGAAATACTAAACACAAAAAAAAGAAAATTAATATTTAAATTATCTTGACACAAAAAAAAAATGCTAAACAAACACTGAATATTTTTATTTACTTAATTTTGAAACACAAATAAAAAATACTCATAGTTAATACAGAAATTTCTAGAAAAAAAAAAAAAAATTCTAATTTAATTTAAAATTTAATTTTGAAGAAAAAAAATTTTTAATATGAACTAGCATAACACTATCCAATATAGTGATCTATTTTGATCAAGCAATAAATGAATATTTCAATATTTTAAATTGGTTATGTATTTTGCAAATTGTAATATTTGAATGAGAGTAGAGTAGATTGTAAATTGAAATAGTAACTCGGCATTGCGCGCCCCCCTCCCACCTATCTGAGGTCCTATAAAATAGCATTTAAAACTATTTAACCATTAAATAAAAATATGCTTTGCATATCATTTCAATTACTTTCGTTTTAAAAAAAAAAAATTTTCAATTCTTACAATTCATTTTCATAGATATGAAAACAAATTAAAAAAACATGGATGTTGCATATACAAAATTTTTCTTTATACCCTTACATCTTTTTGGAAATAATTTTTGCCGGATGCAATTTGAACTACTTTTTTTTTTTCTTATCTTATATTTTTCTTTCTTTTAAAAAAGTAATAAGTTTTACTTCAATTACTGTGTGGGTTTTCATACACAAATTTGAATAATAGCGATTTAGAGGTTTATATAGAGAAGAAAACAATTTTAAAAGCCTCAGTTAACCTTCATAATTTTAACTGATTTATTTTAATACAGCCCTATTATTCTAACTCTTCTACAAACAAGTTTAATAAAATGCAATTTTATTTTAAAATACAATATTATTTTTTATTCGAATATTGCAGAAAAAAAAATAAATGCAATTATTATATATTTATAACATAATTTTGTATATATATATACATGTTAACTAAATATTTATTAACTTATTATTTATTATATAAAATAAAAATATCTTTTAAGTTATTCTATAATGTTTAAATTTTTTTTTTTTGTTTATAAAATTATAATATTTAAAGTTTATTGACTTTTTCTTAAATTTTTAAAATAATTATACAAAACTGTACATACTCGTATATAGGAATAATATATACATAAATATATATGTAAATTGTATTCATTTACAAAAATTTATTAATATTTTCATTGTATATAATATATTTATTGTATTGTATATATAGAGCTAATTAACCCTTAGATCAGAAATGCAATAATACCGAATACTCGTATTAGTGCAGAATTAATCTTATAAATGCGGTATTAATAAAATTCCGATATCAGAGTATATGTTATAATAGCAATTATTAAAAATGATATCATTATAATAAATTATATTAAATTTATTAATATCTATATTATGTGTATATATGTAATTAATTATCAATTTTAATATTACAAATACAGATTACTAGCTAATCCTCAAGCTTTATTCTAATTTTTTTTTTTTTTTGTATAACATCACTTTTTTTTCATAATATTTTTTGCCTTATCTTAAAACGAAATAATACGCAAATAAGAATTTTTTTTTTATATATAATATGTTTGTAATACATACATATGTATGTACATATGAAAATATTACCGAATTTTAAAATCAAATATAATATCTGATTACATATACAAGCTTACATATTATATTAAAAATATAAATATATACATGTATATATGTATATCATAAATTGTTTTCTATACACAAACAAAATCACAAACAAAAAAAAAATACAAATATTGAGTTTATATTAATTATTATCATATGTTCCAATGTATGCTCCACAATTTGGACAATAATGATTAGCACTTTGACATGAATCCATACAATATGGTATACAAGCTACTGGCCAACTAAAATATGTAAATAAATAAATTATTAATTTAATTAAATTAATTAATTTTTTTTTTTCAAAAAAAAAAATAATAATAATTTAATTAAATAAAATCATAAATGTACTTACAATAGAAGGCAAAGTAATAAAGCCATTAAATGTGTTTTTGATGAAGTTTCATATCTAAGTTCAGTTTGAATTGTTGCATGACATGATGGACAAAGAATTGTTTGTGATTTTGGTCCAAGTGGTATTGGTCTAACATGTACAACTTGTGGTGAATTATGTAATACATTGTGTACATAAGTTGTTTCTTGTGGTCCCGGTGTATACGGTGGTGGTTGATCATATGGATACGAATTATTTTTATTCATTTTTTTAAAATATTAAAAATTTATTTTGCAAAAAATAAAGGAATGAAATTTTACCGAAACGAATCTGTTGAAATTTCAAAACTAACTAATTCGTTGACTCATTTTACTTTACGATAAATATACTTATAAGTATATATTCAGAATAAAAATAATTAATTTACGAACATCGATTAAATTGTTTTGTTGTTGTTTTTATATTTTTGTTTTTCTTCTTTTTCTGTTTAATTTTCTTTTTTTTTCTTTTTTTTTTAATATTTGTTAAAGTTATCAACATGATTAACAAACAGTAATCAGCTATCAGCCATTCTTAGGTATGCATGTGTGCGTAAATATAAATAAATTATATATGTTTGTTTGTATATATATTTACATTAATTTTATCTAAAAACGAAAATGTATATAAAAACAAAAAAGAAAACATTAATTTCACTACTCAGCCGTTACTGACGTGTATTTTGTATATTCTTCATATAACATTTTTGTATACAACTATACTCGTATATACAGTACAGAGCAATGTGCAATATACATTATGTGTAATAGATATATTATAATGGATTTATAATTTTGTTAATTGGATGCAATGAATTAGGATCAATATCAAACTACTCATTTAAAATCATTTGGTAAAATGCACCATTCAGAGTGTTAATTTCAATTATATTCCTCTTAGTGGTTAGTATTTAAATTTTGTAGTATTTGGTAATACCATGATATCCATGTAATCTGGTATTTACATACTAACTTATGAAGTATTTAACGTCTCATCGCAGTAAGCATCATTGAAAAGAAATTGTGCACCTTATTTAATTACTTAATACATTCGCTATCAGGGAGATTTTGTTAATGTTTTTCACGTTTCCATATCAAATTATAAGAATATTATTCCTATTTCTAAAGAATTGGACTCTGACTATGTGCATATGTATTGTACATACATAATATATTATTTGATTTTATTTTTGGCAATAGACAACCAGACAAGCAAGAGTGAAGGTATAGAGTAAGCATATATTTTTATATTTTTTAATTATATTGTAATTTACGAGTATTTAAAAGAAATTATAATTTCTTTCTGCAATATATATGTATGTAGATATCTAAAAGAAAACAGGTGTTTGTATATTTTTAATTATACATACATATGTATATATGCAATACATAATATTCATATATGTATATACACAAATGTATAACAATAATAAGACATTAAGATAAGAATTAATATATAAAATATAATTAGCAAAGGTGTGTAAGAATTTTTATTATACCTTCATAAACATTCATACAAATATTATATTTATACATGTATGCAAGTACATGTATGTATATGAGTATAAAAGCATTAAAAATTTTTCACAAAAATTTAATAATTTTATATTATTTCTTAAGCTTTCTTTTTACATTTCGTAAAACTGTAGACTTAATGATCTAAGTGAAATATACATATTATAATTGATTAACTTTGAGATATTTGTATAAAATACGAAACTAATTTGAAAAAATCTATGAAAAACTATTATAAGATTGACTTAAATATATTTAATATGTACAAAATATATTCACATTTGCATGTGTACACATTATGTGTACAAGCATTAATAAAATTACTATGCGCACTAAAAAGCATAAGGTCACTATTAAAATTCATTAGAAATTCGTGAATTCTAATATAAATACTAAATTGTGTATCATATAAATTCTTTTTATCAACATCTGTAACTTTAGGTATATATGTATGTACATATGTATATGAGCAAACAAAATAATTGATATTTGCTCACTTTTAATGAAAAAGTAGTGCATATATATAAAAATATGTTCGCTGTTGTAATACGAGTAAATATACAAATGTAAATTGTAATAAACTTAAAAAAGTGTATGCCACACTTGTATAACACATATTTGTTGACAACAGTTTTAGAAACATTTTAAATATTTATCTTAAAATCGTATATATAGTAGATCAAAGTCAAGTTTATTTTAAATAGTGTGTAAAATATATCGTCATTAGAGTCCTATGAAAAAACCAGTAATATTCCTCATTTATTTTTTTTAATGAAATACCCATATTATATTGTAAAAACAATGTACGTCAAAAGCTTTTTTTTTTTTGATAATCTTATGAAATTTTACACCAAACATCAGTTATTTTAAAATAAATATTAAATATATGACTCACCCATTTAATTACTTTTAAATACTGGCGTATAATCAACTACATTAATATGCGTATATTAAGTTACTTAATACATAGTTAATTATATAGGTTTTAAATATCTATATATGAGAGCATATTTTAAACAAATTTTGATAAAAAATTCATATTATACAAATAACAATAAAAGGTTTGAGTTTGTACATATGTATATATACCTACATATATACTTATGATTTAGAAGCTGATATATTTGCTCTCTTCCTAAAATATCTTGAAAATTTTCATGATTTAAAAATATAGAATTTATTCCATATATATTTATACGAAACTACATAATATACATATATGCAAAAATCATACAAAATTTTTTTTATGTTTTCGCACGTTCTTATTACTTTGAAATAATCCAAAATCACCACCATTATTTTCACTTCTCATATGGAATATTATACGTCACAAATTCTTTAATATCATAAACTTTTTAATATTAATACGATAGACAATCAAACTGTAAAAAAAATTGAACAACATTGTTGACATAATAAAGTTTTGATGTCGCTTCATTTTAATAAATTCTTAATTTTTAATTATTATACATAGACACACTTGTACATATATGTACATATATACATATATACACGTTAAACGTACTGAAAGCTTTACATTTTATATATAACACCCTCCTTAATATCAAAAATATTAGAAATAAAAAATGAGTTTGTATGGTGGAGGATTGGTAAGAAAAAGTTAAGCTTTCAATAAGCCGGTCTGTATAAATTAGTGGCTTAAAATATACCACACACACATACATAATTCTTAAAACAACACCAAAAGAATAAGCAAAAAAAATAAAAAATTATGGGTTATTTAGAAGGTATAAAATACTAATTTTTTTTTTCTTTAATTTTCTGGTTTCCCCAACTCATTTATTTTACTTCTATTTTTTGTTAATAATTCCAAATATTTTTTCAAGTTCTTTTTGTTAAGAATTCCGAGTATTTATTCAATGTGTATGTATAGTACATTTGTACCTATAAAAACTTATATGTATCTGTACTATTTATTTTCCAAGTTTCCAAAAATTATTCAGAAATGAAGAGATCACTAATTTTGCGGAAATGTATAACGTAATTATGTTACTTATGCTTGAACTTCATTCAATGTTACTCAATGTTAGTACATATTCAGACTTATATTTGCCTATAGATTTATAGAAAACGAGAAAAAAAATAGAGTTGACCTTGTCAAATCTGTGATACCCGTACGAATTTGTTATACTATGTGCGAATAACTAATGTGCCATAACTAACTATGGGGCCGACTATGACTTTAAGTTGCCGTATTCCCATATTAATTTATGCAAAATTTCAGTACTATGTGTTTTTCAAAATACAGGTTGTGCCAAACTACTATTTAAGTTTTATGGCAGCTACCAGAAAGAGCCAAGAAATTTTAGCGAATTTTATCAAGCAGATTGGCCCTACTAATATATTCACTTGTGTGAAATTTCAATATCACAGCTTTTATAGTTTCTGAGATACAGCCAAATAACTTTTGAAGTTGTATGGCAGGTACCAGAAGCAGGCAAGTAATTTCAACGACTTTTATGAGACACATTGGCCCTACTAATATATTCGTTTGTGTGAAATTTCAATACCATAGCTTTAATAGTTTCTGAAATATAGTCAAATAACTTTTGAAGTTGTATGGCAGGTACCAGAAGGAGCCAAGTAATTTCAACGATTTTTATCAGACACATTGGCCCTACTAATATATTCGTTTGTGTGAAATTTCAATACCACAACTTTTATAGTTTCTGAGATATAGCCAAATAAATTTTGAAGTTGTATGCCAGCTACCCGAACCCGTACCCAGATCATATCTAATTTAAATAGGGTTCTGGCACTTACAACAATAAATCATTTGTGAAAATTTGGTAAACATAACTCAATTAGTTTTTGAGTTATCGTTGGGACGGACGGACGGACGGATGGACAGACAAAGCTAAATCAACTCAGAATTTGACGCTGATCAAAAACATACACTTGAGTCTATATCTAACACCGTTATTTCTTAGCGTTACAAACGGTAAGGCAAATTTAGTATACCCTTCGAACATACGTTCGTACGGGTATAAAAATAAAAAGGAATGCAATTTTTAAACAATATCTAATAAACACTTGTATTAAGTTAAAATGTCCTCTTTTATCTCCACGGTTATTATATATATATTTGAAAATTTCGATCATTTAAACTCCAACAGTGTCCTTGTGCTCTAACTAAATTATTATTCAGCAATGCAATTCAATTTTTACACATACCTACATGCCTACTTAAAAATTGTTTTGAAATTATCTCTTTATAATTTCTCCTAAATTTATGCAAAATTTCATACTGATGATAAAATAATTATTATATTAAAATAATTATTATAAATATTAGAACATTTTCAATATTAAGATTAAGGACTTGTAAAACCAATACTCTACACTTAATTGTTAAAGCTAAATGTGCTCTATAAACTATAAATTTAATCGGTTACATATTTTTTAAGTTAATTAGTACGAATAATTTTACAAATGTTCTATAAATTCTTCAATTCATTGTAACATTGAAAATGAAATCTATTTTGTTAACATATGTAATTTTTTAAAAGAAAATTTTTCACTTTTACCAAAATATAAATTCAATTATTAATTAAATACACTTAAAAACAAAAACTGAAAAATGATTATATTAAATTCATTGATTCACCAATTTTTATTTTCTTATCAACTGATAAATTGTTAAGAGCTGATAACAGTGATATATTGATAACTAAAAACGATTGAAATATCTACAATATTTATTAAGATATTTTTAGAATAAATTTAGTTAATTATTTACACTTTTATAGTTAACTTCAAATTGAAAAGTATTAAAGTAGCTATATAAGATAATTAATTGAAATGGACGATAAAAATTATCCACCACCAGCTGGTGGTATTCCAGCTACATATTCACAACCAGCTTATCCTCCAAATACAACTGGAATTCCAGCTACATACTCTCAACCACCACCAAATTATGCAAATCAAGGTGTATCAGCAACCGTTACAATTCAACCAACATATGTGAATACACCAGGAGTAGGGCCAGGACCATCTCAAGTAACATGTTCGTCATGTCGTGCAACTATTATTACTCAAGTTGAATATGAAGCTTCAACAAAAACACATTTATTTGCTTTATTACTTTGTCTTTTTGGGTAAGATTACACAATATAATAATTCTAAGTATTTTTACATAATTTACCATTATTAAGTTTATAGTTACAAAAACAAAAAATTTACTTTTATTTTTTTTTTTTTCATTTTCAGATTATGGCCTTGCGTTTGTCTACCATATTGCATGGATTCATGTCAAAGTGGAAGACATTATTGCCCAAATTGTCGAGCCTATTTGGGAACTTATAATTTATAGAATGATAGGTTAAGATTTGGTAATATCGTTCAAATTGCAATGTATAAATCTTTGTTTATATTATAAAAAATAAATATAGTACTTGACTTTTAAAAATTATTATTGCTTTGGCAAAATCAAAAAACAAAAATACAATAAAATTTCTTCTGTTTATTTAACTATTTTTTAATTTAATACCAATAACTTATGCTGTCATTGGGTAAGATAAGAAAGATAACATTATTTTTCATATTCGTTCCATTGAAATTAATGAAAACACATTGCGTACTTTATGGTTATAGAATATTTATTTATGTATAAGTGCATGTATCACAATCTTAGGCATATGTACTGGATATATTATGTACACGGAACTACTAAAATCTATTGAAAATTATATATGAATGTTTGTTTGGGTTAAGTAACGCAACAAGTAATTGTATCATATTATGTTTAGTAATTTTTCAAAGCTATGCGCATTAGTAAAGTGTGCAGGTAGAGTATACTATAGTCGGTGTAGAATGCTTGGGTTTTTTTTCAAATAATGAGTTATAGTTATTCATTAAAGTTTGTGCTTAACTATTAAACTATAAGTTGAAAATTTAATATAATTAAAAAAGTTCTTTTGAAGTTCTTTGCCAGCTACCTAAAGTGCTGATAACATCTGAGAAGCTTTTATTGAAAATAATAGTCATATTGCCATATTCGTTTGCACTATATTTCGATAATATTGTTTGGATTATTTCTCAGATGTATAGCTAAAAAAATTTTGAACTAAAATTGTACGGCAGATACCTGCAAAGAGTTACGTAATTTCAATAACATTTTCCAAAAATGTTATTGAAATTACGTAACTGATGAAAGATGTAAAGCTATATCATTGAGAAACCACATCAAAAAATCATTCGAAGAAACCCGAAAAGCCGTCAAAGCTTTTATGCCAAAAATGAAATAAAAATTCTATAAAATATGGTCACAATGACTTTTTTGGACTTACTCCCATATATGCATAACTAAATAATCAATTAACTTATTACATCAAATTTAAATTACCAGTAATGTAGGTAGGTATAGTTAAAAATATTGACATTTCAATTAAATTTTGTATTTCCGTTCCTGTAATTTTTTAATTTGTTATTTAAAATATTGTTATTTTTGTTTTTCTTTATGATGTGAGAATACAAATACTTACAAGCGTAATTTAATTAAATGCTAATAAATTAAATTGAACGATAAATATTTTTTATGATATTATAAATAAAATATCACTGGGAACTCCCAATAATGATAAATTTGAGGTATAAATAAATAATATACATAACAGCATATGATTAAACTAAATAGAAAGTATAATTTCAATTGTGATAACAGTAACTTTAAAAAATATAGAATAAAAAAATACTGTCATTGAATATCAATCTAATTAAAATATGCCGGTAAAATTGCCAATATTAGTGAAGTTTTTCTCAATTATGTAGCACTTTTACACGTTTGGAACATTTTTTGAATTGCAGTAATTTTTCTACTGTATAAAATCAAAAGAATTTCAAGCGAGAATCGTTTGAGAGAATTCATTTTTGCTTGAAATGATTCTCAATGAGAAAATGACTTTCATTTCAAAAGTGATTACTTAAAAATTAATTTTAAAAATAATATCATAACAAAAATGAAATTATTAAAATTATTATACTAAATTTTTCTTATAAACACTTGTACATTAATTTTCATATTCCACATTTTAATATGTAAATTTTATTTGAATGCCGCAAGAAATAAACGTATAATGCAGACGCATTACAAGACATTATATACTCACACACAATCATGTATGTACGTATGGGTAATAAGTTAATTGTTTATAAAACCATAACCATTCATTGCTCATAAACTGTTTTATAATTCAACATGACTAATCTAGAGACAGGTATTCATTTTTCAAAAGAAATTTTTTTTAAATTTTTTTGAAATAGTAATAAATAAGTACTGCACATATAGACAATATAATAAAAATAAAATATTGTTATACAAATTAATAAAAGCTTAATCTTATCAATATTTTAACAATATGAGAAAGTTTTAAAAATTATTAATTAATTGGGGTTAAAAATATTACTATACAACGTATGTAATAGAAAAAAACAAATTGTTGTCAGCACTGCGATATTTTATTTAAAATTTTTGTCAAATAATAAAAAAATTTTTTGCAAAATTGATAAGCCAATACTGATAAGAAACATCCAACTCCTTTAATTTCTTTTGAAGTAATTTGGAAATTCCATGTGAAAAATATTTGATTTTGCGGTCATTAATTCGTTTAAATATAATTTTCGTCCCAATTCTTATATGTGCAATATGTACCATATAAAACTAGTTTTATGTATCTCTAAATTATACCATTGCTGCCATCATAATTAAGTACTCAAGTGTAATAATTCAATGGTATACATTGATATACATTGTATTTATTCCTTCAGGCATTCCATATAAAAAAGTGAAAATTTAATACCATTTGTAGGAGGAAAAATGGAATTATAATTGAATTAATACAATTGGGAGTATTATGCTTTTGGAGTGTTATACTTTTAGATTATTGTATACCCTTAAATGGAACACAATAAGTAAATATGAAATCATAAAATTTAAATTATGTAACCATAAAATATAAATTATAAAGATTTCATAAATTATAAGAAAACATAATTGAATAAAATTAAAATATATCAATTCGTACTTCAAGTTAACAAACAGAAATGGAATATCTTGAAATTTTATTTTTGTACTATTTGTACGAGTATAGTATTAAATAAACAAGGAATAATGTGCTAGAAAATTACCAAAACATTTAGAAAATACAAAACCCTACATATATTTAACCTGAATTAAGCTTTTAACTTAAAACTTTAAATGTTTTGAATATTTTATTCCGAGTCCGCCGAGTTGTTTAGAATACATCACTTGTGTAAACAAAATCTAATCTATTAATGAAATATTTAATAAAATAACTAATTTATATTTTGTATATAAAGGTAAGGAACTAAGATGATGTGCGTGTATGTAGGTTTAATATATTGCAAATATATTTTTTTAACATAATAAATATTTAAACATATATAGGATATTCGAGACTATGGATGAACTTCTCGAAGAAACATAAGTCCAGACGATCTCAAAATAAACTGAAGGAAAATTTTTCTTTTATCACCATCTTATTCAAATTTTATTGGATATGTCAAGGTTGCTTTTTCTAACAAAAATATAACAGATAAAATAAATTTAATTGTATGTGTATAAAACTTGTAAGTATATGTATAGTATAAAAATCGTAAATCGTAAAATGGGTGAATTTGATAATCAAGTTATTTGCGTTCCTTTTATGAGTCTTCAAGCAAGGTGTAGTTGAATAGCAGTTGCAAACATTAAATTTCTATTAAACGATTGATCTGTTTGAAAAATTTTTATATAGAAAAAATTTTCAATTGCAAACAACGAGTTTAGATATTCCCGAGAACTTTAATCTAATATTTTCTTATAAAATTATAATAAACACATATGTATACACATCCGTTCTAGCATTATATACAAAATATAACAAAAAAACATTCATATAACCAATTCTAATTGTAATACATATAAATGTAATAAAGGTATTCTAAACACATACGAGTAATAAATATAACAATAATATCTAAATGATAAGAAAACACACAGGTATATATGAAAAGACCTATATGATGATTAGTCATACACTTTTTATCAATATAATTACGATAAGCTTTCCCATATTAAAATTAAATTATTTATTTATAATTTTTTTCCCCAACTCTATAGATTACATTTTTCGTACATTCAGTTAACAACGAACATTCAATACGAAAACATCATTTCATTAATATAGAACAACAATATCTTAACGAAAATTACTTTTATACCATTATACATTTAAAGTATATACGTATACACTAAAGTAAAGAAAAATGGAAAATAAATCAGGTTATCCACCACAACCAGGATATCAACCGGGTTATCAACCAGGATATCCACCAGGACAAAATGTTGGTTTTCAACAACCACCAAATTATAATCAAACAATGGGAGGTCAACCACCAGCTACTGTAATTATTACGCAACCAGGTCCTGCACTTGGTCCATCACCATCACAAATAACATGTCCTTCGTGTCATGCTACAATTTTAACTAATGTTAAATATGAGCCTAATACAAAAACTCATATTATGGCATTAATTTTATGTTGTTTTATGTAAGTACGCAGCTTTAAAATTATATAGATTGTATTTTTTAATTGATGTTTTATATAATTTTTATATAAATTTTTACTTTCATTTTGCAGTTGTTGGCCATGCGTATGTTTACCATATTGTATGGATTCGTGCCAGAGTGCTAATCATTATTGTCCAAATTGTAACGCATATCTTGGAGCATATGACAAAGATGGTTGTTAAAACAATTAACTTTGTTGAAACATATAAAAGAAAACTATTATAAATAATTAATGTTGAGCTTTGGAAAAAATTTGGAATTTTATAGCTATTAAAAATTAAATGAAATTTTTAGTAATAGACATAACAATTACCTAGGCTAAAACTGTTTAAATGCTACTTAAGCTATTTAAAAAAAAAAATTCTAACTGTGTAAAATTTAATTTGTCAAAAACACATTTTTTTTATTTTTTTTTTTTAATGTTATATTATTGTAAATACAAATTTTTCATATATTTTTAGGTAAATATGTAATTAAAATATGAAACAAGTGTAACTATATTAATGTTATACTTATACACATTGAATGTAATTGAATTGAAGAGTAAGTACACAACTATGTACAGAGTACTTATTGAAAAATATTAATTTTTTAATAAAATAGAACAAAATTATACATTATTTTGTTTTTTTTTAAAAGACCAACTTTGTAAAAGAGAAACAATTTCATTATATTTTAATGAATAATATCGTTTACTATAAAATATAGATAAAATGGAATTTTGTTAAAAAATCTATACAAAAATTAAAAAGATAAGATAATAAATACAATAATTGTTTAAATAACAATAAAACAAATAAAAACCTAACTGTTATATTAAACATATATAGGTATAATAAGTACATTACCATACTTAAAATGACACTGAAAATTATTTATTCATTCGTTAAATTCAAGTGAAGTATTTTATCACTAAATACAATTACACGAACACATTAATTTTGCCTATTTAATTTTTATAACAATCATAATTATCACAACTTATTTTTAACAAGTACATATGTAGGTACTCTTAATTTTTGGTTACATAAAAGATTTGTGTACATATTACTTATTGTTATCACTAAAATTAATATAACTCAAGTGCAAAAAAGCTTGCTTGCGTTTTTAGGACTTTTGAAAAGCCTAACTTCACCGGAAAGTACTTAATTAAAAATTTTATTCTAAAGAAATATTCTTTTTTACTGAGATCATTTTGAAAATGCAGTATTTTAACGTTAGAATAACAAGATTTCAAAAGCTCGACATTTTAAATTTGACATGAAGCTTTTTAAACTTTAAATTTCGACTGCTTGGTCATCGTTATGATTTTAAGAAACTTTAGTTGTGATGAAAAATATATTTAAAAATTTTAATATGTTTTTGTTTTTTTGAAAATTTTCATACATCGACATTACATCCATATGAATATATTAAGTTCAAATTTATTATTACTGTCAATATTTATTTTCAGTTAAGTAAAACAAAAAATACATTTAAATTTATTATTTAAAATTCTATTACCATCTATGACATTCCAATCCAAATAAAAATTACATTAGTTTGTGCCTCTTTATGTTTCCATTAAAAATTAAAAATTTTAATAACATCAAAAATAAAATTTGATTTTCAATATGACATTCTTTGATGACACTTGAATAAATAAAATTTTTACCAATATGTGACGTCATAAGGGAGAAATATTTTTGATTCGAAAAAGTCAAAATTGATTTACATTATTTTAGTAAAAAAAATAAAGTTAACGACCACCATTATTTCTCTTCTGTTTTATTTTTCCTAATTAAAAAAAGAAATATTATTGAAGTGCGTACATATTCAAATAATATGTAGAATCAACTGAGTTGAAATTATTATGTAATAACTTCTAACATTCCTTGTAATTTTGATACAAATTTGGAAATTGTTTCGCATTATTTTTTGTTCCCTGATCTTACCCAGCATTTACACGTGCAAGTTACTTGCAAGAAAGTTGCAATACATACAAAAATTTTACTAACCCATTGAAATATTTCTACTGGCTTGTTTACTTGCAGTTCAACTTGCAAGAAAATTTTGCTGCCAGTAATTTGAGCAAGTAATTTGACATATTGAGAAATTCACAAAAAAAAATTTGTTGCTTTGATTTTTTTTTTTTTTTTTAATTTAAAATTTTTGAATTTTGTTTTGAAAAAATTAAATTTAGCAAACTTAGCTAGTTGTTTTCTTCTCAAAGACATTTTCAAAAATTAACTTGCTAAACGCCTACGTCATAATAGCAAGTAATTTGACATTTCGAAAAACTAATTGACAATTAATATTATACAAACTTGCATGCAAGTAACTTGTATGTGTAAATGCTGGGTTAGTAAATATATTAGGCTTCGATACAATTGCAAAGAGGAAAATATAAAAAACAAAAAATAAATTTTTGTTTTTTCGTTACAACCCTGACATCTTTGACATATTTGTCAAACGAAAATGAAAATGATGAAAAAATGAATAAAAAAAACCTTTAGTCAGACTGCGTATAGTAGTAGAAGTATAGTAGTTGAGTGATTGTTCGTATATTTGTATTTATTGTACATATATGGTCATGAAAATACCACTTATGAGAAATTAAGATACGAGAGCAATAAAATTACCTATTTACAACGCTTGATTAATTATTAAGTTTAAAGTGTTATTTAGAAAATTTGTAAGTAAAAATAAAATTTTCTCTAATTGATAAGTTCTAAAAGAAAATGTTTATATTAAATTAATTGTGATTTTAGGCACCAAGCTTTTTTTGTAACCATATTTGGGTGTCGCCCGGTTTATGCTAATCAGAGGTTAAACAAATAAATAAAGTCATTTTCGTTGAACATCTAACTATATTAAGAAATAACAATGCCAGTTTCTAATAAGTATATTTTTGCTAGTCTACCAAGAACTCAAAGAGGTCAACCTATAGTACTTGGAACAGATCCAAAAGGCAAAAATTTTTTGTATGCTAACGGAAATTCTGTTATTATCCGTAATATTGATAATCCAGCAATATCAGACGTGTATACGGAACATTCTTGTGCAGTAAATGTTGCAAAATATTCACCAAGTGGTTTTTATATTGCATCAGGGGATCAATCTGGTAAAATTCGCATATGGGACACAGTAAATAAGGAGCATTTATTAAAAAATGAATTCCAACCACTTGGTGGTCCAATAAAGGATATTGCTTGGTCACCAGACAGTCAAAGAATTGTAGTTGTTGGAGAAGGTAGAGAACGATTTGGGCACGTTTTCCTTGCTGATACTGGTACTTCAGTTGGCGAAATAAGTGGTCAATCAAAAGCGATAAATAGTGTAGATTATAGACCTTCTAGGCCATTTAGAATTGTAACAGGCAGTGAAGATAATACTATTGGAGTTTTTGAAGGTCCACCGTTCAAATTTAAGATGACCAAAACAGATCACACAAGATATGTACAGGCTATAAAATATTCACCAAGCGGTAATTTATTCGCTTCAGGTGGTTTTGATGGTAAAGTGTTCTTATATGACGGAACCTCATCAGAATTAGTTGGTGAAATAGGTAGTCCGGCTCATAAAGGCGGCATTTATGGTGTTGCGTGGAAACCAGATGGCAGTCAATTATTAACATGTTCTGGAGATAAAACTTGTAAATTGTGGAACGTAGAAACAAAGGAATTAGTAACGGAATTTATTATGGGTAAAGATGTCGAAGATCAGCAAGTAAGCTGCTTGTGGCAAGGTGAACATTTGATTTCTATTTCATTATCTGGTAAAATAAATTATTTAGATGTCACTAATCCTGAGAAACCACTTCGCATTGTAAAGGGTCATAATAAACCTATAACCGTCTTAGGTTTAAACGAAGATAAAAGTTCCATTTATACAGCAAGTCATGATGGTATTGTTATATTTTGGCATCCTGAAACTGGAGTTAATGAAAAAGTTGGTGGAAACGGTCATGGTAATCAATTGAACGGTATAGCTTCTTTTGATAATTTCATATACACGTGCGGTATTGATGATTCATTAAGGCAAATTGATGTGGAAACAAACACATATACTGATGTATCTGTAAAACTTGCCTCTCAACCTCGTGGTTTGGCAGTTCTTAAATCACAAAATATAATTGTTCTTGCATGTCAAAAGCACATTGTTGTTGTAAAAAATAACCAAGTTGCATCCACATTGCCTTGTAAATTTGAATCAAATTGTATTTCAATCAATTCAGAGACATTGGAAGTAGCAGTTGGTGCTGATGATCAAAAATTAAGAATTTATGGATTAAATGATACAACTTTAGAACAGAAACTTGAACTTGAGCATTTAGGTGCATTAACTGATTGTCAGTATTCACCAGATAATAAATATTTAGTTGCATGCGATGCAAACAGGAAAGTAATATTATATGAAGTTAGTGAATATAAATTGGCTCATAATAAAGAATGGGGTCTGCATAATGCCAAAGTAAATCGTGTTGCATGGTCACCAAATTCAACAATGGTTGCAAGTGGATCATTGGATACAAATATTATTGTATGGTATGTTAATAATCCGAGTAAACATACAATATTGAAGAACGCTCATCCTCAATCTCAAATTACTGGATTGGTTTGGTTGAACGATAGAACAATTGTATCTACTGGTCAAGATTGTAATACCAAAATTTGGGAAATCGATGAAGAATAAAAAATTTAATTTTTTAATAAAAATAAAAATGTATTTATTGTATTATGTGTCCTAATTATGGACTTGTTCTGCTAAAATTTTATGTCATTATAAAACAAAAACAAAAAGATACAAAAGAAAAATAAATAAATTTATATGCGCAATTTTTTCATACAAAAATAAATTATTAGAATTTTTATTTGTTAAAAAAGTTGTGAACGTTTTAAAATAAGAATTTTTTTTACTAATATGAAATACAGTAATTTTTTTTACTTAATTGGATTATTTACTAAACTAACAAAAACGAAATACTTATACATAAAATATATTTTTTTGATTTCCAAATTATATTTCTGGCAATAATCCATTTTCTTTTACATGATAAGATGAAATGGTGGACGCCTACTCATAACTAAAAAAAGAAATCTTATTTCAATTTCTAAAGATGTTTAATTTTTCATAGGCATGGAAATTTTCCTTATAAATTTTTTTTTTTATTAATAGAATAACAAATGTTTTGCATTCATTTTGATGCATGATTCTAGTAATTATAAAAACATTTAGATCATCGTTATATTTATATTCAAAAACATATTTAGAAATTATTTCTGTTTTTATGTTGAAATAATTTTTCAATTAAAATTTATAATATAATGTAAATATTAATTATTTTTTCTAAGCGAATTGATTTTTTTGTAGAATGTTTTCAAAATTTTAAATCATATTTGTACAATAATTTAGCGAAAACTAAATAAATCAAATGATTATTTTTAGGAAATTACAAATTTAATTACACGCTATGTATAATTATGTATGTACATTGTTTGTATAGAATATCTATAAATGATAAATAGAAATTTAATTCTATATCTAAAACAAAAAAAAAAAAAAAAAACAATTATAAATATAACGATGGGTAACATAAAATAATTTAAATATAAAATAGAAGGTCAAAATTAATCAGAGGTCATGAGTAGAAGTTAATGACCGCAACTCTTATATACTAAATAGAAAATAAAATTAAAATTAAAGTATATATGTACATAGTATAATAATAAAATTTTCAAAATGACGTTTACACCGTAATTTACTTATTTAATCCGGTCTAATAATAGGAACAATTATTTTAAATGTTTTCACTTTTTCTATATGTACATACAAACATAAGTATTTTAATTTTTATTTTCTTTATATTTTTTTCCATTATTTTGTTTAAAATTCTACTAGTATTAAAAAATACATCGTATATAATTATATTTTTTTATTTTATTTTCTTATTTGTTATTTTTTCACAGAAAACGTTTTTCATTTTTTTTTTAATTTTCTTTTTAATCTTTATGGTTTATGGTTCTGATTGCATATATTATGTATTGTGTGACGTGAATGAATATTTCGCTTATACTTAATATAGTATCGCTGGTATTATATAGGATTATCTGTTTAGAAAACTAAAATTTGAAGTAATAAATATTTTAATATATATAATATACATACGTTAATTATGTATAAATAATAATTTTGATTCTTAATTCAGTATAAGAAAATTTCATTGTTAAAAAATTAAAATGAAAATTTTCCTTAACGGTAAAAATCTTCTTCCATTCCAAAATTTTATAAAAATGAAAAGTATATTTAAAATACTAATTTTATGTACACTCTAGCTTCAATCTAATACATACATATAGGTGCATATTTCTTAGAATAACAAATTTTTATCAAATAAAATATTCAATAAATAATAATATCATAAGATAGTGAAGTTAAAAAAGAACATATAACTAATAATTTTAAAAAAATGTTAAAGTACTTTACTTCACAATAAGATTACGTATGCAAGTATATACATATTATGTAAATATTATGAACATAAAATCCTTGTATAAAAAAACAAAAAAAAATTTCAACAGTCCAGAAACACTTAAAAAAAATATTAAATGGAATTATCAAAAAGTAATCTTATCTCACAATAAAAGTTTATTAAATTTTCTTGTTATCAACATTGCATAATTTAACCATTAGCATGCAGTGGATAAGAGTATGAATAATTTCTATTAATATCAAAATAATATTCAATTCCTATTTTCCTTTGAAAACTAATTGAATAAAATTTCTCTTTCGTTCTAAATATAAAAGTAAAATGTAAATAGCAAGTTTTTAATGCAAACAATTAATAGAAAATGGGAATTATTTTATTACTTTAATTGAATTAATACTGCCCTTAAACTTTTGATATTATCGAAAAATTATATTTATTTATTTAAAAATATTTTTCACTACAAAGAAACAAAATTGAGGAAACTATCACTTCAAATTAAATCGATGATTTAATAAGTTTTACGAATAAAGTGAATGTATAGGGTTTTCCAAAACAAAAAAGAACTAAATAAATCAAATGCTATTATCATTTGATAAATAAATCAATAAAAATAATTTTTTTATTACAAAATAATTAACAATTAATATGAATTATATATATACTATTGAATTCATATACGTTATGTATGTATATAGGTACTTACAATATACGATTATTATATATAAAGTTGGTAAATTGAAAATCAATTAATTGTTTGTCAATACTTGTTTGTCATAATTTGTATATAAAATGTAATGCATGTGCAGTATAATATTATAATGCAAAAACCTGAAGTGCTAAACTATTACAGTACAATAACAAAACTAAAGATAAATTAATATCTAACCCTTAAGTTTGTTTATCTGGACACTTAGTAAAATAATCTGGATACTTAATTATTGTTAGAACATGTACATACATATATAAATATGAAATACCGAAATGCATTTTTATTTCTCTTTAAGCTGGAACGAAATAATAAGCAATATAAATTAAAAAAAAAATAACGTTTTTAACAATTTCTTATTAAGAATGGTAAGTTAATAATATCAGCATATAAAATAAAATTAAAATTGGACTTTTCATTTCAGGATCGTGATAAATTTTTGGCAAGTCTTAATGAGACTTCTAGGACCGGAAACTGGTACAAAAAACTTAAAGATCTTACAATAGATCAAAAATATGAAGTAGAAGAATTTTATTTTAAAGATGATACTAACAAAGAAGTTATATGCAAAATTAAAGACCCTGAAAACGATGGAAAATCAATTTATATTCAAATGCCTGAGAGATGGTCGACAAAAGTAACAACAGAAGAACATATCAAGATTCTGAATGAAGAAAAGCGTTTTTTAAAGTATTCCGGGCAAGATAAGGAACGCGAAAAATTATCAATTTTCGAATTGACAAAATAACAAAACTCTTCTGCTTCACAAGATTTATTAAATAAAACATCAGGTTGCAGATATTGAGTAGTTTTCACTAAATAAAATTTTACTAAAGATGAATCAAATACAATTGAATTTTATTTAAAATAAAATGATCAATATGAATTTATTATAAAATTTGGAAAAAAAATTACATATTTCAAAAAATCATTTTTGCCTGTAGAAATATTTGTTTAAATTTTTATAACTACAATATTCTTAACCAATATTTCTTTAATTTTATAGATATACGGATATCCAATAATTTGCGTTTTTGTAACAAATATTCAATAAAATCAAAAAAAAATTTGAGCAAGATATTTTTAATAAGTTGCATTATTTTCCAATAATAATAATTATGCAAATTTCCAATCTATAACATTAATATATTAAAGATGTGACACAAAATTTCTCATATCATTAAAAAAAAAAAAACAAAAATTAGAACTTGATGGTTTTTGATGCAAAATTTCCGGAACCATTAAAAATATCACTATAGCACTTATTCTATAAAAATATGTGTACTTAAAATAATAATTTAATTATATACTAAATGCAAATCATGTTAGGAAAAGTTAAAAGAAAGGGCGATGGATTTTATGCTACTTTATTTCTATATAATTAAGTAAATTCAATAAGTTATTAAACATCGAGTGTTAAATATTAAAGTCGAGTGTTGTAGATGTTCAAAGGTCTTGAAATTAGCTAGTATAATAAATCATTTCTCAGAATTCGGAAAGTTTTGTCATAACCGTTCGTATACCGGTATAAATTGGGTTTATATAATTATGTCATAAATTTATTTTACACTCAAAAGCCAATTGGTACATACATAAAAAAAATTTCTTTAAATTCCATGTTAACATGTTATACGTTAAGTACATACGTTATAGTAATAATCTTCATTTAATTCAAAAATGTGTTTAATTTAAAATGTACATAATTATGTATTTCAAAAGGTTCCGAAATGTGAGTACACGTAAACCATTTCCCAATTGTGCCATTTTTTAACGTAAACCTTAAAAATATGGTTATACTTTATCTTTTATAAGAATTACTTTTGATAAAGAAAAAATTCAAAAATAAGTTATATATTGATTAACTTAATAATGAATATTTTATATTAATTAAACCAAAATTATGAAAAAATTCTATTCAAATTTTCTCTCTGTTCTATTCAAATTTTCACGTGATATATGTACATATATACGTACATACATACATTTAGTTATATTTTGGTGTCCCTTAAAATATTAGGTGTGTCTGGTATATGTATGTTTGTAAAAACTTTATAAAGTTTTAGTATGCACGGCATCTGATATAATATTTTTTGGAAAAAACAAAATAGAGAAAATGATGACGTCTTCATTTTCTCAATGTTTAAAGTTTTCCCAATATTTTATAAAGTAAAATTTAGTATATTAAAAATTTTTCGCTGTCAAAACATGTGTTCTTCTTTATGTGTGTATTGTTTATATTTGATAAATATTTTGAAATTTGACATTTATTACGTATTTTATAAAGTTTTTGAATGAGTTTTTTCAAATTTTCCATTTGGTTAATTTTTTTTTTTTTTTTTAAATCAGATATTTTTTATTTCCTTTGCGAGAAATTACGTCACTATTTTCTTTTTTTAAAGTTTTTTCAAGTTTTAATCCTTATACCAGACAGATCTATTATCACAACATTATTTGTTGTAGATACAACGTTGCCAAATTGAAAAAAAGAATTGTCAATGCACCTATAGGATCGTTTCACTTTAATTATAAAATTTTTTTTTCCATATCAATTAAAGTAAGTTCTTATGTACGTTCTTATTTATTTTTAATAATTTATAGCGAATAAATAACTAAACTTTGTATAATAGAATTGTTTTGAACAAATAAATAAGGAGCTTTTAAAATCTTATCTTGTTCGCGATACCATAAATAAACGACAAATTTAAGGTGTTTTTTTTTTTTTTTTTTAACAACGCAGTTTATACTTTTTAAATGATTGATTGATCTAATATAGATAAAGTCATGTTAAAAGATTAAACAGTTTTTTGAATTTTAAATCACTTAAAATATGGCATACGTGTCCATATTTTAATTTTTATTCATATTTTTAATTTACATATACACTTAATATTCAAATTATTCTATTTAATAAAAACACTATAGATAATGTATATATATATGACACATATAAATTTAACAATTTAAAATATTATTAAATTAAATTAAATTATTAAATTATATTTTTTTTTGTTTTGTTATATAATATTTTTTATGAACTATAAGCTCCGATAAATGCATTACAATTTGGACAATAATGATTAGCATTCTGACATGAATCCATACAATATGGTACACAAACGCATGGCCAACATCTATATAATAGTAAATTAAATTATTAGAAATTAGAAAAACTAAATTTAAATTAATATAAATAATTTATTTTTTTTTTTTTTAATATACTACATAATATTATTAATATACTATGTACTTACAGGAATAGGCATAATAATAATGCCATTATGTGTGTTTTTGTTGTTGCTTCATGTTTTACATTTGTTGTAATTTCAGCATGACAAGATGGACATCTAACACGACTTGGATTTGGACCGACAGCAGACATTTTTTTTTAATAAATTAAAAATTTAATAATATAAATTAAAAATATTTTTTAACGGAGTTCTTTTTTTAAAGAAACCAATAAACTGATTTACAAAATCTATTATACTTACTTTTAAATAGGTAATTTAAAAAAAAAAAAAAAAACTAAAAATTTTCTAAAGCTTTTTCAACCTGGTTTTTTGGTTTGTTTTGTTTTTTATCAATTTAATCATCCTGATAGCACACGATAAGAACATATGTACATACATATATCTTTATTAAATATTATGATTACAAAGAAATTTGACTCATAAATTTATGATTCATTTACCTATGTATACTAAATTTAATATTGTATTTATGCGTATAGCAATTACTATTGGAAAATATTGTCTGTACTTTTATTTTATTTACAGTTTATTTGTATAATTATACTTAAAATACTAAAAAATACGTTCCATGTTTTAATATAATTTTTTTCCATTTGATTTTATAATGCAGCACAGACGGATTTCTGATCTATATATACGTCTATATCATCTTTCATTACATCATTGACATTTTCTGTAAAAATATTAAAATTAATCAAAACCTAGGTTATTGAATAATTTTAATATTTTATGCTAATAATTATTTTTATACTAATCACACTTTAAAAACCAAAAATTTGCATTCTTGATAAAACAAAGTAACAATAATCTTTTTCTTCTTGTAAGCATGATTAACGTAATTTGTTAACGTGACTTCAAATTGATCGCATGCTATAATTAATTAATTCAGTAGAAATCTATCAAATTAAATTTTAATTTACTTTGACATTTTTGCTAAATACTACTAAATTATCTATATTTTCTGCAAAAAGTAACATACTTAATTCAAAAAAGACAAGTTGAAGTCTAATTTTGTGATTTGGTAAACACCTTAATTTTTTTACGTTATAAAGTATATAAAATACGAATATATTATTTTGTAAAAAACTTAAATATATGCGACTTCATAAAGTTAAACCTTACGTGAACTTGACATTCTTCAGGAATAGTGTACACCAATATCTCGCTTTCCGACAATAATTAGTTCCCAAAAAAATTCGTCGCAATCAAAACGTCACAATTCGAGAAAATTTTTTGTATGGAATTGCACTCTAAATATTATTAAAGATACGTTCCATTTCTTAATCAAAACATTTTTAAGTTTTTTTTATAAATTTATTTATTTATACAAAAATTTTTGCTTTAATTTTATTTTTGGTACCTATAAAAAACTTTTAAAAAGTCACTTTTGGTTCTAAGAACTTGTATAGCAAAATATATATAATTTCTCTTTTTATAATTACCTTTAACGTATTTACAATGTTAATACTATACACACAGCATTCAATACATACAATGTACATATTGTGAGAGCAAACAAAAAAAGAAAAATTCGCAAATATTTTTCTCATCGTAATGTCAATTTCGTCAAAATTCTTTAAGTCGCAAAGTAAAATTAATCAAAATTTTTTTCTGCGACGCAATATATGAAATGTCGGAAAGTGAAACGTCGCAAAGCAGCATGGCATTAGTGTATATCGTTCAAATAATAAGCTACAAACATCATAGCTCGTAAGTGATTATTTCTAAATTATATAAAATATTTAGTGCTATTCCGATATCAAGTAAAATCATTTAAAATTTGCTCTTTCCTTATATAATATCCCGATATGAAAACAATATATAAATGTGTATATGTTAAAATACGAAGTTGCGATAAGTAAAAAAAGCTTTTATATAATCAAAATTTACAAATAAAAGTAGCTACTCTACATACCATAAAAAAATCAATGCATTTTTGTTAGGTTTTTATTTTTTTTTTTTTTCCTGATAAAAAAACTGCAGACTGTAGAACTTTTTTAATAAAACGTTTATTTAGTTTTTCAACTTTTTTATCATTCAACACAGATTGTTTATATTATAAAAGCAAACACATATGTATTATTTATATTCATACACACATATATAAATATATACAATCATGTGTAATTATGGTGTTAATTAGAGTGTATAAATTAGTTTCTCCCGCTAAAAATGCGGATTATTTTTATTCAATAATTCAAGCTAGATCAGTGTTGATCAGTGAGGTGAGTTTTAACATAGAGCTTTTGCCCTAGTGTTTAGCACGTTTGCAAAAAAAAAAAAGTTTGTATACCTATATGTAAAAAAAAAATTTTAAAGTTTCACTTTTATCAATCAGCAAAAGAATAATCACACCATAATACCCCCTCCCCACTCCACCCTACTCATCCTTTTATGACAGTCTGTGAATATAACAAATTTTTATAAATTTTAACGAATTCTCGGGGAATTTTAATGATGAAAATTTAATGACGAACATATTACTTATATTTGCGTAAACTCATACATTTCCTTACTAAACTTAAAATGCTTTTTCTTTATACTCGTATAACCAACAATAATTGTAGGGGAATAGTTTTGGTTTACTGTCGCAAATGAAAATTGATATTACGACTGTAAGTATTATTTGTATAAAAATTCAGATTTATTCCATAACCCGATAAAAGCTATCAAAAATAACAATTTTTTATTTTTGATATACTCGTAACTGTTTACTTCGCGTGCATGAGTTTCTACCTACTGCATACTTTTATTTATATAATAATTATATCTGATTCAGATTTTGAAAATTTACAATTAATCAGTAAAAAATATAATAGATAAAAATATAGTCAAGTATACACATATACAAAATTTAAATTAGTTAATAAAATTTTTGTATTAAATAATTGCTCTCTTATAACAAATATATTTTTAGTTTCCTTCAATTTATAAAGCATTTGTATAGTTTCGAAAAACTCTTATATCTAATAATATTTAATTATATTAATTAAATTGCTATTTAAATAATTTTTCTATAATTTGGTTTTTCATTACACAGAAATTGTAATAATTATTGTAATAAAATATTTTTAGAAAATTTTGGCAGGATTAGCAATTGTTTTATTTTCGAAATGAGAATTTATTTGCATTTATTTAGAATGAATTAATCTAAAATTTTTAAAATATTTCCTAAATTATTCAAATTAAATATTATTATTCATATTATACTGATATTCTAGTATCTACTATATTTAATACCAGATACTAGTTATATACTGATATTCCGTTATCTAGTGATATAACCGGTTTTTTTTTTTTTTTGCAAACTTATCTTAAGTACGAGTGAAATGAAAAAGTAACTTTATTAGATTGAAGATAATTTATCGCAAATATTATTTTATTTACATACATTTATATTACCTGTAAATATTATTTTTAATAGCCGAATTGATAGAAATAAGTTTTGTCTACATAGATTTCTCTCTCATGTTATTCATTCTCAATCTGAATATTTGCCACAATTCGAATCATTCTATAATAAATTCTATAAGACTACAAACTATTAATTTTTTTTTTAATTACAATATAAAATACAACTTTATATTTTAATATATGTATAGGATTTTGTTTTGATATTCCGGTCATGTGCTTCACTGCTTCTTGATTAAATGCTGGTTTATTATTATTGATTATAAACTCCGAGGAATGTACCACAATTAGGACAGTAATGATTTGTATTTCGGCATGAATTCATACAATACGGTATACAAAAACATAACCAGCAGGTAAATTTATTAAGAATAATAAAAATAGTTTAGATAAATAAATATATATATGCTATTATGCTCTATCATTTAAAATAATTTACATAATATGTATATTAGAAAAACCCACCAAAATAGACATAAAAGTAATGCTGCAGTATGAGTCCTCGAAGTTGCTTTACGTTCAATTGTTGTTGAAACATGAGCATTACATACAGGACATATGAGCCGGGTTGAGTTTGGTCCAACAGCAACAAAAGACATTATAATTCCTTCTCTATTTTCGAAAAAGATTTAGTTTTTTTTTTTTTTAGTTTAAGAATAATAAATTTGACAAAAAAAATTTGACAACAGGTTTATGTCCTATTTGAAAGAAATCACTAAATACACTGAGTGAGAATAATATTTTTATATTGCAAGCTTTCTTTTTTTTTTTCATTTCTATATACATATGTTTGTATATACTTTATCGACAAAAGGGAGATTTTTTTTTAAGTTTCTCTTAAAAATTTTATGAAGTTTGTTTGAATAACTTTAAAACTTCGATAAAATGAATTCATTTCAAAAAAAGTATTGAACATTTATTAAAATATTTCAGCTTAATAAGACGGTTTGACAACCATAACCTCTAACAGCGGGCCTTATTTAGAAAAATTGCAAATTTTTTTAAGCAAAATCTTAAAAAATCTCGTTTTATTAAAGTAGGTCTTATAATAAACTTTGAAGTTTATGACATATTAATTTGATTTAATTAAATGCTGCCATATTGATCCCAATGGAGAAAACTAGGTCCATTTTGTAATTTTAAAATCAGTTTTTGATGTTTTTATGTGTTCGTATTTGGACCTCACTAAAATCTTTTTTTTTTCTTTATATTACTTTATGGATTTTATGGATTTCAAGTAGCAACTCTAATTTTGAATTGAAAAAAATAAATTAAATTATCATTTATAATAAATAAATTAAATTATTCATATCGTATTTAGTTAAATCATTTTATTTTATAAATTTAGAAAAAAATGACGGAATAACAAATAACTTGATCACATAATAACGGTTTTAAAGCTATTGTTTCGTAAATAATCCTTTCCCTTAAAAAATTTGTTTTATAAATTTTGTTTTTATACTCGTACCTGACTTTGTAAATCAAATTATTTTAAATGTTCCTCATATTTTGACTCGCCTGTTAATTAATCCCTTTTTTACTTCGCAAACAAAAACGATATAAAAGTTATATCTACTTTAATGAAATAACTGTAATGTTCTCGAGTTCTGTTACGATTTCTAAGATACGAACACGATTTGAAATATATGATACATACATAACCTACACATATATGTATGTATGTTTTTGTACATAAATTATATAAAAGTGTAAGAGTATGTTGGAAATTTTCTATTGTATTTGCAATAATTGCAATGAATGCAAAAAATAACAGAATGAAAAACACCAGGAATCAGAAAAAGAAGACAACTTTGAATTATTCAATTTGAAAATTTTAACAGCAGTAAAGCAAAACATCATATTATTATTGTTATGTTATTGAATGAGCTTACACATTTAGTTTATTCATTTGTTTAAGCGTTCTATTGTATATTTTTGTTTTAATATTTTGTATATAATATCCGTGATTTTTGTTTTTCTTGAATTCAAATTATGGTTTTAAAGAAAAGAAAAACAAAACTTGTGTACAATGGCTATTTAATTTCATTATTCAGCAAAATTTTAGTTTTCAATTTAATATCTGTTATTCTTTGATAATTTAAAAAGGATTTAAAACAATATTTATTTTTTACATTGTAGAAATTTAGAATTTTATTCTGATAAGATATAGTGCGAAATCATGCATGTGGAATATTAAGAATATTAAATTTTGTGAAAATTTGATTTATTAAATACATTTGATAATAGAATGTGCAAATAAAAAAATTTCAATGTATGAATATTAAAAAATTGGAAAATTATAAGCATATTTCTACAAGATTTAAGAGATCGTTTATTGAACATACAAAATGAATCTGAACGATGGTTTTGCTGCATTCTAAAAAATTGAGATGATTCATTTTACTTCCTTATATTTGTTTTATAATAACTTACATTTATTTTATTCAAATGATCAGTAAATATTGGAGTTAATACTGGAATATTACTCCAGATTCTCATTTTTTATCATAGTAATATTATTCTGTAAAGTGAATGGATTGTTATAAAATTAATATGTTTATCTTTAATGAAAATTTAATTTAGACTTTCATCTCCATTTTTTTTCCATTGTGTTAACAATAATATTCCATAATTAACAAGGTATTTTCAGTTTAAGTTCAAAATGTCTATTAAATTTAAGTAATATTGTAATTTATCAAACTAAAAATTAAATAACAAAATTTTTTATTTTAAAAATTAATGTTTTTCTTTATTTTTGATTAATATTAATATTTTTTTTTTCTGCTTTTCTAATAAATCCTTACATTGCTATTTATTTTTATTTTTTTTTCGCGAAATAATGTTTTTTATAATTTACAAATAATTAAAAGTTGAATATATTTACAGAATTATTTTTTTTTAACTTCACACCAAATTATATAAATTAATGACATACGTTATCTACATAATTTTGCTAACAACAAATATTTTTAATTTAACAAAATTAATTTCATAATTATTAATATTTAATTTTCTTTATTTAAGATATGTATACAAAAAAAAAAAAAAAATATTTTAAATATAAATTTTCTTTTTGTATAACACAAAGTTTGAATTTTTGAAAATAATATCATAATTTGATTGTTATTTACACCGATTATCTTTTTTATTTTTTATACTGATTAATATTTGGCTTTCTTAATGAAAATATTAATAATATTTTGTCTGAAATCACATAACTTTTATGAAAGTAAAAGTATACTTGAATAGAAAGCAAATGTTCCAATGCGAAAAGAAAAAAATAATTTTAATTTTATTTGTAAGTTTTCTTAAGGTTTTCTCGAAAATTTAAGATAAAGTAAAGTATATTTAATAGATAATAATATATTAATTTACTGAATATAATATTTGAGGAAATTGTTTACGTTAAAAAATTAAAGTTCCAAGTAATAATATTCTGTTGTATTCTAAATAATTTTTAAAAATTAATTTTTTCTAGTTAATAGTCAACATTAGACTTTTTATTTTTTAATTGTTATTAAAAATAGCAATAAATTTATTAAAATTTTAAAAAAATATGAAACAATACAAAACATATACATATTGAATATTTTGTTAAAAAAATTTAAAATATAATTAATAATTATATTTATGATTTATATTCATATAAAATTTCAAAAGTTGAAATTATTACAAAATGTTAAAATAAATTATAAAATTCTTCAAATATCCAGATTCTGGTCAAATTTATGTATCTGTAATATTATAATTTTTTATTATTTCAATTTATAATTCAAATTTTTTTGTTATTGAAAAACCTCCAGTTTTATAAAATTTAGTTTTTCTTTTCATGTTTTTAATTAAAAATTAAAGTTGTCTAATATTTGCTATTATAAACGAATTTTTCAAATATTTTTTTTTTGAAAATTATTTTTAAATATAGAAAATTTTGAAATTTTTATTGATGCAAATACATATCTCTTATTAAATCAAAACTATTCTTTTAAAAATGTAAATATAATGTATAAGTGCACAACTTTTTGTTTTATAAAAAAAGTTTAATTTTCATACCTAATGTTTCTTTCAAAAAAGTAACAAAAGAATATGAATAGTTTCTAAACAAAAAAAAACCTATTTAATTACATATGCAAACTTTTTATAAAAATAATTCATTCCATTTAAAATATTTAATGTTCATATGATTTTATTAAAACAATGAATTAAAAAAATCATGTATATCAATGTAATATAATGAACTAAGTGCTCTTATATAGTATGAATGTGTTTTCGTTTAAGGACTATATCAAAAAAATAGAAAAATTAATTTTTAATCTCAAAGTAAAAATTTAAAATATTTAATGTTCATATGATTTTATTAAAACAATGAATTAAAAAAATCATGTATATCAATGTAATATAATGAACTAAGTGCTCTTATATAGTATGAATGTGTTTTCGTTTAAGGACTATATCAAAAAAATAGAAAAATTAATTTTTAATCTCAAAGTAAAAATTATTTGAACATAAGAAAATATTTAAAACTTTACAAAATAGAAAATAAAAGTATAAAATAAACCGCTAATAATTTCTTAACAATTTTTAAAATTAAAATAAAATTTAAAAGAAAATAATTAACTTTTAGCGGAAAAAATTAAAATCTTTTAAAATAAAGGCACTAATAAAGCTGAAAGCCCTTAATTGAAAATACAATATTGCTATAATTATTTGTAAATTTACTACTCTTATGTTACTCTAAAATTTAAAATTTTCTTTTGTTTTTTTCAATTTTTTTTTTTAATGGAATTTAAGCATTTTAGATTTTTGATTTTAAAATGGATGATGAAAATTTCAATTATAAAAGCTAAGGATTTTTTTTTTATTTTTTGAAATCAACAGTTTGATTTTTTTATTAAAATATATTGCTGCAAATTACAAATACATTTTTATTAGAAAAAAAAAACAAATAGATCCATAGTTAAATATTCTAGTTTCGAACTTTCTATAAGGTAAAAAAAAAAAATTTTAGAGAACAAATTTCATAAATAAAATAAATAGTGAAATTTTTTTTATTATTAAAAATAAATTTTATTTTTCAGATATTTGAATGTCGAAGAAAGTGTATAAAATATTATATAAGAAAAATTAAAAATTTGTTCCACATTCAAAAATTTTAAAATAAATCTTATTTTTAATGGGGATAACTTTTTGGATTCACAAAATTTGTCCTCTTGTACATATTAAATACTAGATGAAATTAAATATTTATTTTTTCTTTTCCTTTTTTTTTTTTAAATTAACTAAAAAATCACTTGAGTAACATATTAAACATTATTCTCAAAAAAAAAATTTTTTTTTCATATTTACAATATATAAAATAATAATTTTTTAATAACAAAATTTTTATGTTCAAAATTAATTTTTATTTATTTATTTTTTTTTTACATTTTCAATTTCTTATTTATTTCGTTTTTAAATACATAATTAGAAATATTATTTACATAGGTATTAAATTTTTTTTTTTTTTTTAAATTTAATTTGAAAATCTTTCATTAAAAATTTTTCTACGATGTTGTTCTTCTAAAATTGCTGTAATTGCAGGACCTACTTTATCAATTCGATTTTTAAATCTACATCTATCTCGTGCATAACTTTCCCATTCACCTTTTCTGGCCGCCCTATACGCATAATCCCATGTATGCATAACATGAACTTCTGGCTCTAAATTAAAACGAACCTAAAATTAGAAAAATACAAAAAAAAACATCAAAAATTATTATCAAGTGTATTACAAAAGTATATTACATGAATAAAAAATTATTAATCATATACAGTGAATTACAAAAATGAAATGAACGTATTCTTTTGATACTTATTTTACATTATGAATAAATTTCGAATCACATTCCGATTTTCATCAGTTTTGTAATCAACTGTTTATATAAAATGAATATGTCAATATATTAAATAATTTATTTTAATAAAATAATTATATTTTAAAATTAAAAATATTATTTAATGAAATTGTCAAATATTATGTTATTAAAATAATTATATATATATATATGTAAATATGAAAAAAAAGATGAGCTAATAAGTAAATATTTATGAATTTCTTATAATCGAACACAGATAATTTAAATAAGATATTGAATATATTAACAAAACATTATTACTATATCAATATACACAATTTATAAAAGTACGTACATTATGTTGTGTTATTAATGCTAAACAAGGGTAGTTTAAAAATTTTTTAGATTACTTAATTAATTCTAGTGTTGTTTTTTAATTGTTTATAATAAATAGGCTGTATTCCGTATTTTTAAAAAAAAAAAAAGCCAAAAACTTTGCAAGTGAATAATGTTCCGCATTGTGTCTTAAAAAAATTTTGCAATATTATGCATTCCAAAAGTAATCTGAATAATTTTTTAAAATTTTGTAATTTTCATTGTATTTATTTGGTTTTTGGATTTAAATATCGTTTAAAGGCGGCTTCAAAACTTTGTTTTTAACAATACGGAATATTGTCATACTTATTTCCTCATTTATTTCAAAATTTCTTTTGTTTAAATATAAAGATATTAAATCAGTGAGCATTTTCAGTTTTTTTCTTTTTGTTCCCATTTAGCGTTAAATGAATAATAGAACGCATGAAACAAATATATTTAATATGACGTGTTATTTTATATTATTTTGACAAGAATAAAAAAAAATTTCATCATTTTAATTTCATAAAAATCATACTATCTTAAAAATAAAATTAAAATAGAAAAATGCAGCTTATAGACTTCTGACAAAAATAAAAAAATAAATTTAATACAGAAATTTCATAATATCAAACTAAAGTTGTACAATCTTTTTCAGTAAATTACATTAAGTAATGAAGATTTTATATCACATATACAGCCACGTTGTATATCATACACAATTGTATGAGTCTGCAATGTTCCAAATGATTCAAACAAAATTTAAGTTTGACGTGTCAAAGTATTATACGCAACAGTAAATTTTATTAAATATTTAACCTTAAAATGAAAAAAAATTTGAATTGACAAGAAATTTCAAGAATCAAGTCGAAATTACAGTCATATGACAACATATTTAATTATTTTGTCTATAAACATAAATAGATGATTTAGGGTAATAATGAGTTTATAAGAAACCTTAAAAATTAACGCACTAGTCATCAATTTTGTTAAAGCAAGAATTAAATAACTATATTTTTAATCTTAAAACAGAAAAACCAAAAAACAAGAACTTTTTCACTAAAGTATCAATGTTGATAGCTTTACTCTTAAAAGTGTATTATTTACAAACAACTTATCATCTTTATAAATTTGTAGTTGTAAAAAAATTTCAAATACATACTAAGATAAAATGTCATTGAATATATTCAAATATAAAACAGGAAATATTAAAACTTTAAAAGTAATAAGCATTTTAAATTGAAAAATACGGAATTGATTTTTCTTTAATAATTTTTCATTTATATTATGAAATTTATAATATAAGATTAGATTACGAAAAAAAAAAATTTACAGAAACAAACCATAAATAATGCGAGAAAATGGCATTTAAATGTAAGTAAGATAATTTCAATGTAAGTAAAAAAATTTCTTATGTTATTTCATCAAATTCAAGCCGAGAGTAATCTTAATTCAATTTATGAAGAAAATTTGTACTATAATTCAAGCCAGCGACAGTATTTAAAATATATTTTCAAAAAGAAATCTGATATGGTCAGCTCATAACTTAACTTGAAAAAAAAATTTGTTATCTTTACTTTAGCTCATGGTTAGCTTAAAATTTGCTAACTTCATTTTAAACTACTTATATAAAAAAACTAATAATTTTCAAATTAATTTAATAGAAAAATTTAAATTTGGTTCTTTGTAAAGATTAATTTTCTATAGCATTCGCAAAATCGACTGCCGCAATCAAAATTTGATTTCCTAAATCTGGTAATATCTAAAAATTTATTCGATCATTGGTTTTAATTCGTAGAGTGGAAATGATTTTTGAAAAAAAAATTTTTATATTCTTTATATTTATGTTGGCACACATGATTTCTTCGAAAAGCTTAATGACCCGTCATATTGCCATATGGAGCTTATACATGTATATGTATAAAATTTCAAGAAAATCTATTCTAAATTTTCATAAAAATATTAATATAATAATACTAAAGGCTATCTAATTAAAATAGATAGCCTTTAGCGAAGAATTAAATGCTATTTAATAACGAATGATAAATTTTCATTTAAATCGGTTCTGTCGATACACGATTCCCATCATAATCGAATGAAAAATACATTTGAACACAAGCTTGACGTGCGAAATTTGGTATCAACACAATACTCGTACCACCATTATTTTATACAATGCGATTGCGGCAAAATGAAAAAAAAAAAATATTTGACTTTCTGTTTTTAATAAAAACCAGTTACGTAAATAAAGAAAACTGGGATAAGTTTATATATAAATACAGTTATGCATATATATATATGAGCATTTTAATAATTCTTATAATAAGTTGTATAAACATTATTACTGTATACCTATGTTTTATTTAAGAACAAATGTAAGTAAGTATACATGAAAGCATAATGTACTTATGCTTTCAAAATGAACACATTCTGAAAATAAAATTTTTTAATTTCGTAAAAATTACTTTAAAATCTTGAAATTTTGAAATTATAATTAAAATTTTATTTACAATAATAATAATTAAAATAAAAATTAAAAATAATTTTTCTATGACCCGGTCTAAAAAGTTTTGAGATTAATGACCTAATTTATTGATGAAAAAAATGTAATAAAAATTTTTTGCCTTTATAAAGCCACATTTTTTAAAACAACAAAATCAACATGAAATTACAGTCTTAACAGCAAAATATAAATGTGGTACAAAATAAACAGTCTTTAGTAAGAGAGTAAATATAAAATACACTTAGATGAGAGATGAAAACATTTAATGTCATATTTTAGAGAATAATAAAAATTTTTACCACAATAGCATTTACATTTAAGGTTAAAAAATTTCTTTTAAAAATAGCTGTAGTTAGAGAAAAGAAAAAGAGATGAGAAATTGAGTACCATTTTTATTTTCAAAAGAGTAATATGATTTTCTTTTAGTAATATTCAGTAAATGCAATAAAAAGTTCAGTCAATTAAAAATTCATTATGAATTCAGGTTACTTATTTACAAAATTTTTGAACGATTGATATTTAAGCATCTGACTTTTTTGATATTTTTATTCGTATTTATACAGAGTATCTCATATTTCTGATATTCTTCGGCTCATTAAGTTTTGTAAATGTAAAAGAAAGTTTGTACTATAATTCAAGCCAGCGACAGCATTTAAAATATATTTTAATTCAAATAATTCTATTGTTAAAATATTTGCATAAGAGAAGAGAGACAAAATGATCGTATATAAGAAAAATATTTGCAGTAGTTTATTTTACTCAATAACTGTTAAGCTGGTAGGAAAATGAGTTAAATATTAAATTAAAACTTAGTTAACCAGGCTGCTGGATGTGAAAATTAAAAAAAAATTCTATTTTTACGTAAGATATAATTGAAAATTTTTTAACTTTTAGAGCCATGTAGGGCTGAAATTTTAACAGAACTTAAAACTTATGTAGGTACTATTTTGTAAGAAAGTTCTCTTTCTGAAGTTTCCAAAACATACTTGATAATGCATTTATGTGACACAGACCCGGCATTATAATTAAAATTTCAAAAAGTAAAAACGGTTGTCGAGATTGACTTTGAGTATCTGTAAGTCGGAACCTATTGAGTTATGAACATTGTCTCCGCACAAAAGTTTTGTGTATCAAATTGTAATGATAGATATCAGTGCACTTAGATACGACACACTCTGTATATATATATACATATATTTACAATGAAATGAATAATTTATTGATATACAAAATATTCTTATCTTCTTTTGATTTAAATATTATTAAAAAAGGCCATTTACTAAATGAATTTAGTGGGGATTCCATTAATATATTTATAAATTTTTGGAATGTATAAAATGAATACATTCATATATACATTCATATAAGTATAATATGTGCAAAATAATATATTGCAAACTTAGTTTATATATTAAAAACTGCTAAGTCTATAATAAACATGCGGTTTATTAAACTACATATAACAATTATTAGTTCATTCTAATTCTGTTATCTTAATGTAAACATTGCACGATAAATTATCTTGATATCTTGACATTTTTAATATAAGAATATTTATTAAATAATTCTAATTATGTATATATATGACATTGAAATTTTCGGAATCTTCGAAATTATTATAACACCCATACTAGAAATTAAATGAAGAAGAAATTTCATTTAAATGTAATGAATGAAAATTTGTACGCATATTAAAAAATGTAACGAATAAAAATTTATTACGCATGTTTTAAAGCAAAATTCTAAGGAAAAATTGTGGACCAAAGGAGGATGTTATGTAATTGTTTCCAGGATCATCCAATCAGGGTGACACATTATATATAAGGTAAAACGCAGAACTAATTAAGGGTCAAGATATTGTACCCTTTGTCAAAAGTCAAAGAATCAATCGAGCCGGGTATTGTATATACTTAGAACGCAAGAAGAAAAACTACCAAAATCAATGAAGGCTACAATTATGAACACTCGCAGCAGACGCAAACCTAGGCTCAGATAGAGATAACGTTACCAACTGGAGAAGCTGTG